ACTACATTACTGGTATACTTGTAGAACGAATGGGCCAGCTCGATCGGGGAGGTACCACGCTCTGATAGAATACCAGCGTAAAATAGCAGCTTAATGTTGCTGTGTTTTGTATGGTGAGTGTAGAGAACCGGAGATTCTTTTTACTGGATACGACGCATTCCATCTTAGTCCTCAGGGGTGACAATGCATCTGCATTTTGATTCATAATCGAGGATAGATGTAGATATCTATGGGCCACGGCATCAATTACCATCAGGTGAACTGTGTGCACGTTTGTCACCCTTATCCAATAAAAAAAAAACTTATACATACATGGATGGTTTGATAAGCGATGCTGTCTGCAGTAACTATTATTTAATCTTTGCTCTCGCGCAGATAAATTATCTTAACCACCTTACGAGTAAGTTGTGGCATGTAGAAGCGACTTAAGAGAATCCGCTACCCCATATCATCCTTTCAGTGTCGTAAGAGACGACATGGATAAATAAACAGGAGTGTGGGTAGCAGAATCTTCCTGATCGTAATTGAAAGTAATTAAAATCTATGGTTGCCTACCTGCCGGCATATATTACTCTTGAGTACAGCTATGAATATTATATTATTTTGAATACATTATTCTCTCGACCGTGTGCTCGTTTGTCACCCTTATTCTATATTTAATATAGAATAAGGGTGACAAACGAGCACACGTTCCTCCTGATGGTAAGTACATGCTGAGGCGCATAAACATGTACCTATTTATCTTCGATTAAAAATCAAAATGTAGATGCGTTGTCACCCATGAGGACTAAGATGGAATGCCTCGTTTCCAGTAAAAAAGGTCTCCGGTTCTTTACAGTCACCATACGAAACAGAGCAGCATTAAGCTGCTATTTTACGCTGGTATTCTGTGAGAGCATAGTTCTTCCCCGGTCGAGCCGACCCATTCGTGCTACAACCATAACATGGTTTAAGCTTGGCTCTACCACGTAAAAAATTTATGTTGTTCATAGACTTTTGATTAGCTATAATTATTAGACCAATCAATGTCATAAGCGTAAAAGACAATGCCCATCTGTGCCCCAGAAATGCCCAGATAAAGTATATTACAAGATTGCTCTAATAAATAAAAACTAGAATTATGTTGTTAATTTTAAATCATATGAAGCACGGGATAAAAAATAAAAAAAATAAGACGTTTTGTTGACATTGCAGTAGGTACTTATTATTGTTTCAATCATTAATTCATGCTTTATTTATTACGGTCTGGAATCACGTCCTTTGGCCCATGTAAAACTCAACATGATTGATATTAGTCATAAAAGTGATTACTAAATAATCGAATAATAATATATTGCTTTACAACTAAACCAAATAAAAATATAATTTTATAATAAACGTCATCAGATGAAAAAAAACATGGCCCAGTTAAGCATTTATTTTTGTTAATAAAAGCCAGAGACAGACTAGTTTTTACCAACGCCATTTATGGGACTATTTGTTTGTTCGCCTATCCCTCATTGACAGTCTCTTAAATTATAAAATCTTAGGCTTTGTTTAATTCGGGGCTTAATAATTGGCATGATAAATAAAATCTTCGAAAAAGGAATCGTTTTTTTGTTGATCAATTGATCTAAGTAATCGATTCCAATATCGATTATTATTTTACATTTGAATCATAAACGAGTTGAATAAAGATTTAAATGATGTCTCCAGACACGCAAAAGTAAAAAAGTACTTTGTGGTAGTGTATAAGTATATCTAGGCTTCAAATAAACAAATATAATTAAAACAAAAACCTAATGAAGTAATGGCTCAAAAGATTTAGCTCCAAGTCAAAACATTCCAAAAAACTGAAATGACTGTCACTTATTCTTTCACTGAATAAAAAACCAGTAGGAAGTTATCATGTTTAATGTCCAATATCTTTTGAACCGGTGCTTTATATGACATTAAATCTAGATATCATATAAATACTGTTAAAAAGTTATCATATGACATTGAGCTGCAATTTCGACATTGCATGGCATTGCTGACTTTCAGCTCCATACTAATATGGGCATGGTCCTTTTCGGCCATCGGTCTAACGTCTGAAATCTGAATCTTGTTTAAATTAGCAAAGTACATTCAATAGATAGAGATTAATTTCGCAATTGGAGCAAGGGTATTATTCTGATTTACCAATATTTCCCTCATATCACGTGCTGATAAAAATGTGTCTTTGTTATCGTCCGGACGTCTTGCCTACACCATTGACGGGAAACGTGTCATAACGGTCTCTAGGAGCAATAGTGTTGTGTAGTCGCTTGTGGCCACCAACTGACGTAATCTTTTTTAATAAACTTCGCTTAATCCGCAAGTGACGATTGATCTTAAGGCTAAATTGTCGTACCAGCGAGTCATTTAAAGGTCAGTTATTTCATTAAACATAAAAATATTTTTATGTTTAATGATATAACTGGCAGGAAATAGAGTGAATAGGGAATACACCCTATTGTGAGAAGTCAGAATGTGTCCAAAAAGGCACGTATGGCAATTCACAATGCTGTGTTAGTCCCTACTTTAATGTATGGTAGTGAAAGTTGGGTGTGACAGAAGAAGCACGAGAGTAGAATAAATACTGTAGAAATGCGATCATTAAGGAGTATGTTAGGGATGAATCTGAATGACAGAGGGAGAAATTGTGAGATAAGAGAAGAGTGTGGCTTGCAAGATGATGTTGTGACCAGGATTAAGAAGGGAATGCTTCGGTGGTTTGGGCATGTAGAAAGAATGAATGAGGAAAGAATGACAAAGCAAATTTATGTTGCAGAGGTGAACGGTAGAGTCGGGAAGGGACGCCCTAGGCAAAAGTTTATCGACCAAATTGGCCGTATATTGAAAATGGGCCAAATCAAGAGTACCTTTAACCGACGAGCGTGTATGCGTAGGTATATGGATGTGGAGGAAGCGAGAGAGGTGTGTCAGGATCGTGCCAAATGGAAGTCCATAGTCTCTGCCTACCCCTCTGGGTGACAGGCGTGAGTGTTTATGTTTATGTATAATATAACTGGCCTTTAAATTTAGTTTATAACGGATTTTGGTTACAGTAATACCACTGTAAAAACTTTACCTCTCATGCATGTATCGCGGAGAATTGAATCGTTTGATAGGCTTTATATGGCATTTATGAATAAAGTTCCTTCTAAGGTAACCGTGTACCGTTGGTGTAACAAATTTCAGCACGGTGGACTAACTTGGAGAGATAAAGAAAGAAGTGGTAACTTTTTGACGGCTGTTGGAAAGGAAACGTGCTAGAAGTAAAATTTTTGATAAATATAATACGTGTATTACGTATGAAGATATTCAACACATGTTGTAGATTTGTTCGGAAAGCATTCACGAGATTTTACTCGAGCAAATTCGCGTGTGGAGGATTGTTTTGCGTTTGGTACCGCACAACCTCACCGATGCTCAGAAGTAGGCTCGCTCGGCATGATTACGACATTATTATGGATGATTAATAAGACGGTTTGGCTGTTTGACCTACCAAAGTGTAGCGATCATGAAGCACAGGAAGTATCTCTAGTTTTATCACTTAGACACCTATCTTTTAAGAAATCAATCGCGTCAATGTCGAATGTTATACTACCAAATGGTCGCCAGAAGTGTTCACTGATGTGAGCAACAAGCGACAGAACACGGCTCTCTTTACAAAGATATAATAATAAAAACATTAACCACAGACCTTTTTTTAGTTTCGTAAATCTTTCTAGGGTTCAAATGTCATCACACATCTCAAGAATATTTTACTAATTTCTATTATGTGCTAACGACACGCCCCGGTTTCGCACGGGTGATTTTCGAATCTCCATCTACAAGCCCCACCTACTGGGTCCAATGTTAATCTAAACTATCCAGGGACCCACTATGACAAAACATTCATCAAAATCGGTCGAGCTAGTTTTGAGTTTTAGCGAAACTAACGGACAACAATTTTTTTTTTTTATATTTTAAAAAGATAAACGAGGTTTAAATAAACAACCATTATAACCATCTGCGACACTCAACGGCGCAATCATCGATCTATAGCTGGCAACGATTATATAATGGCCTAGTTCTGCCACGATTTAAATCCTCGCTATTTATTTTTTGTACAAATAAGTAAATAATAAGTTGATATTGAATAAAACAATAATATATATATATAGCTCAATAATCTGTAATAATCTGCAGATCTAATATATATATATATTAGATCATGAGCTAAAATTATAGGTTTATTGTACGTTATTTCAATGGCTGATAAATATTACCTTAATGTATAAACAATAAAATGGTAAATTGGAACATCAAAACACTGGGTTAACAAAATCCAATTTTTTTTATTTTTAAGTAGCAGTTTATATTCACAACAATGGAAACAGGTCTTCCTTATAAGTTTTGAGAGGATTTGAAGAGAATTCCAATTTGTTTTTGAGGACATAAACGTTGTCGATATAATAATTGTTTGATGTATTAGACATACAGGTTTATTAACGTTGTTTTCCTTTACCACCGAGCACGAGTTAACCCTACAATTGCAATAAACAATTTCATCGGTGTCAGCAGGAATCAAACTAGATTGGTTACTCGTGAAGGTTTAAGGTGAGCACTTATCTTCTGAACCATCACTAGGTCTATCTTGGATCCTGTCTGCGTAGGCTTTTACCCAATTTCTGCCACCAAATAGCACTGCTTGCACCTTTGTGTTTCGGTCTGTGAGGCATTTGATCTCAGTCCTCCGGAGGTTACAATACATCTGTAGCATTCTGTTTGAAGTTGACTGCAGCTACCCATGGACTGCAGTAGCCACTTACCATCAGTTGGATATTCGTTTGTCACTTTAGTTTAATAAAAAAGAGAGGTACTCGTAATAATTGGAACGTATAATATTTAGTTCTTATTTCAATTTATACTTTCGATTGTTGTCATCTGTTGGAACTTCATCTTCATTATTGTTTAAAGATTCATAAATTAACATTTCTTTTATTGTCCCACAGGTATAGATGGATTAAGAACGGCAAACCTTTCGAATACTCGAGCTACGACAACCGAATCTCCCAGCAGCCCGGCCGCGGTACTCTTGTGGTCAGCCAGCCGCGAGACGAAGACCTCGGCCAGTACCAATGTTTCGCCTACAACGAGTGGGGCACAGCCACGTCGAACTCCGTCTTTGTGCGGAAGGCTGAGCTCAACTCGTTCAAAGAGGCGGATGGCCCTCAGCAGACAATCACCGCGCAAGAGGGGTTCCCGTTCAAACTCACCTGTGAACCGCCCGATGGTCACCCTAGCCCGAACGTATACTGGATGTTGCAAGGCGATCAGGGACAACTGAAGACCATAAATAACTCCCGCATGACGCTAGATCCCGAAGGGAACTTGTGGTTCTCGAACGTAACTCGATACGACGCTAGTAACGACTACGCGTACACTTGCGCCGCCAAGTCGGTGTTCCGTAATGAGTACAAGCTGGGCAATAAGGTGTATTTGGAAGTGCAGAACACGGGCATATCACCGGCGCTGAACAAGCACGAGCCGGTCCGTCAGTACACTTCCAGGAGGGTGGAGAAAGCATGGCGAGGCAAGAAGGTCGAGCTCTACTGCATCTATGGTGGAACGTGAGTATTCCGTTAATTATATTTTAACTTATATAACAAAAGATATGATTATGAAATATTTATTCAAAATCAATAATCCAGACTATAATATAACTTCAACAAACAAAGTTTACAAGCGACCTAGTTTACTGGAAACTCCAATCCAATTTTGCGACCTAACTTCCTCGGCGAAATTCAATCAATACGATTTTATAACATATACAATGAGAAATTAGTTTTAACAAATGTAATCCTATATTTAAAATATGATATAATATACAACATAAATAGGCTTTATGTTTATGGTTTTGTGAGAGATGAATACGAAGGGCTTTTAAGCCAATAGATTTGTATTGAATTCTTTCTACGTAGTAGAGCCATACCGCAGCTATATTATGATTGTAGCAGAAGAAATAGAAACAACCAAAAGAAACTCGATCATCAGAGTACCAACGTGAAGTAGCAGCTTAATGCTGCTGAGTTTCGTATGGTTAGTACCGGAAACCCTTTTCACTGGACTGAAACGTGACATTCCATCTGCATTGAGATTCATAATCAACAATGAATGTAGATGTCCATGAGCTACACCATCCATTTACTATCAGGTGCACTGTGTGCTCGTTTGTCACCCTTATTCCATAAAAAGTTAACTGCTTAAAATTTATTATAGAAGATATACTATTATTATAATATATATTGCGGTATAGTTAGCGTTTCTTAAGTATAGTCAGTGATAACAATATTCTTGTTAAAATAAGCTAAATTATATATAACCAGCAATTCGTTTATAAAAAGCTTATTTATTTAGGCTTTGTGACATAAATAAGGAGCACTACGCCTGGAGGATATCTTTTGGAAAATTTAAATGTCATATCGGAGATAATATATTGAAATGATAAAATGTTGAGATGAAGAACATTATTTGATATTATTATTTATTATAGTCTATTAAATTTCTTCGCTGCATATAGGCCTCCCTTATAGATTGTCTCATTTGGGAGGATATTTGCAAGTTTTAAAAAGGTTTGTTTTTTATTATTTTGAGTTGTTATGAGGTAGATGCTGCTGCCCAACTCCTGCTTCATTTTCTTTTATCGCCTCTTACGACACCCAAGAGATGATATGAGGTAGTGGATTCTCTTATGCCGCACTACACAATTTATTGCATAATTCAGTGCAGGTGTATTGCAGTTAACATATAACCTACACTAATTTCCTGGCCTATTTTCAACCATGTTGACACACCTTTCGGATGCTTTAATAGCAGTTATTGAACGCTAAATCGTAAAAGTCAATCGATTACTGACCGATGACGTCAGTGTCGATAGTCATATTTCAATTCCCTTTGTCCTAGTGCATATTAAACGTATCGATTTTTCCGACACATTAGTACTCTTGCTCATGTTATAGCGACCCCAGGTCACTAGGGTAGTAATTGTAAGCGGTTACGTAATTCACTCGGAGATATTTATGGACTGTTATGATGACTCAATCGCTTGCGTAAAATGATTTCCAGTTTTATTGAATTATCTCGATGTAGTTTTGTGGGTAGGCGTATGTTTGTTTGAGTGCTATGCTCCTCACTTAAATTGCAAGCTCGATATTATGTGATAAAGAAAAATATTTGCTTAGATTACAAAATATTTCTGACACAGCATTCGAACCTTCTTACGTCGATGCTAATTTTTAATCGATTATTGATAACGAGCTAGTTTTTCGAGCTTAAGTGTTTATTTAATATTTACTTTTTAATTCACTGGGTCACACAATTTTAAAAACTAGGTTTAGGCCTTTTCAAATATGCGCCAATTAGTATGTATAACTTGAAAAATTTGCCCATAGTCACAATCTAGGCAGGCGTGTTGGTGAGTGCAAAACCGACACACTCACACTGGTCTTTATTGCTAGTCCATAGTATTTGGATGCGACCTGTTCTAACGTTTATATCTCCATTGATTGACTAGAGCCTCGTTCGTTAGTTGGTAGACTGCTCTGGACGCAGATGAGGGGGGTATTTGGAATTTATATCCCTTTCGATCATACTTTTCGACATAATTCCGTAATAGTAGGAGTCGAAAGATTAAGCAAAAGAAATTTTAAAATTAACTACAATTCTTAAATTATCGTTTTGAAGTAATTTTATATTTAATTTTGAAGACATAAACCCACAGTGTTTACCCATAGAAAACTAGTCACATTTATCTGTGCTTCAAAAGAATCGTGCTAACGTGCGTTGTTAGTTGTAACCCTTGAACTAAATCGGAATGCCTCACTATCAGTTATTTCATGCAATTTTATCGCTTAGCCTGTTTTAAGGTTTTTACTGCATTACATTCAATAGAATCTATCTAAGGCCGGGTCTACATATGAAAATCCTGACGTATCTTGATTAGGCGTATCGTATCTAGTACTTGTATCGTAAGATTAGACGCCCATTTCAACCATATCGTATCACTAGCCGTATCGTATAAAAAAGCGCCCATACCTAACAGTATCATATTGTGGTCAAGAAACAAAGAAGATGAAGTTTGCGGTGGTTGCTAAAAGTGTTTAGAAACGGAAAACTACATGATTTTAGAGCAATCAAATCCAATCACATTCAAATTTGTCAAACCTTGAAGTGGTGGGTAATATCGTATCGCCTTTGATGATCGGGAGAAACCAACTAGAGGTGCAACGAGGTGTATTAGGTATCGTATAGCATCGTAGTATAGATCACGATAGGTGTTTCCAATACGATAGAGATACCAAGTTTTGGAACGAGACGTATCAGATACGCTATCACATCATCGCGTATAACTTTGTATTCAAAATAGCGATCTTGACACAGGTTGGCGCCACGCGAGGTAAATTTGATACAGAAATATAATTAAATGTGTACCCGGCCTTATGTAATTTTAATGCTATCTTGTTAGGACGAATTTATTATTAAACGTTATATTATTTATTTAGGCTATGAAAAGGTAGTTTCTACAATAATAAGGGAATAGGAATGTTACTAGTTGACTCTTTGTATGATGAAATTAAGATTTTCGCATAAAATCGAATGGATTAAAATTGCAGTTTAAAATTTGTAATTAGTTGGCATTTTATCTACTACAAAAATACTTAATCCAGTTCACACTTAACATGAATCTTTTTAAAACTATAGGCATAATGTTTAACATAATATGATCTTGGGATGTATAGTATATAAGTTAGATCTTAAAAATAGATAGTAAAATGGTTTTGAAAATTGATCCTTCTTCGAAACAGAGGATATTCTACGGCAGATTTGTAAGTCGTATACATTTGCAGACCGCTGCCGCAAATTGTATGGAAGAAGAACGGCAGCCGCATCATATCGTCGCAGCGCATCACGCAGGACAACTACGGCAAAACGCTGGTGATCAAGCGCGCCGGCTACGAGGACCAGGGCACCTACACCTGCGAAGTCAGCAACGGCGTCGGTACAGCCCAGACATACTCCATACAGCTCAACGTTGAGGGTGAGTGTCGATCTTAAAATAGTAACAAACTGTTTTTAAGTAATAACGAAGAAATTTTTGCGAGTTATTTCCGTGGCAGATTTATGAAATGCTACAAATTTCTAATCTCTCTCCTACCTCCTAATTCATTAAGTATTTTGTGGTTTATTATTATGTCATTAATTAAAATCGTAGCGTATTTCAAAATCCAGTTGCCCAAACAAATTAAGTACACATAATCGAATATTCCCACTTCGATCCCCTCGCCATATGTAAAATTCCCTAAGACCATTAAAGAGAGTAGAAGCGAAACATAGGCCGTGTTCGCAAACATCCATTATCATACAAAAGCGAAAGCTCTCCTATGTCACAGATGCGTCTGATGTATTATGAACTGAATTTCTTGACATGATTTTCGAGTTTACCTCTCTTTGTCAGGTTACTACTAGAACGTACGAGCGAACGTACTCGTATGTTGGCCTAGTTAAAGAATACTAAACAAATTTGGATTTCAGTGAAAGACATTGGTATTGGTGAAACAAATACACATACCTACATATATGCATGCTAACTAAAAATATTACCCTACTTATGTGTCAAGAAAAAATGATAAAAATGTCGTAATATACCTAAACCTAATCGTCCTAGAACTAACAGTCTACCTGATGGCAAGCACCTACCAACCTAAGTACCTAACCTGCCAACAACTTCAAACAGATGCACTGTAATCCCTGAGGGACAAGATAAAATACATTACAGCGCATGATTATACTAGATTTTCATAATATGTTTCAGACAAAAACACAGATAATAGAATGGTACTTACTTACCTTAGGCCTTAAGGCTTAAGGACGCCGAAACGGACTACCTAGAAAATTTGTATTAGACTGTTTCATCGTCAAAATGAGACTTTTACGTCACTTGTAGTAATAATAGTTGTAGTTAATATTTATTAACCACTATGATATAAAAGGAGAAAAATAAATGGATAAATAAATATGAAGGGAGGCTCATGTTCAGCAGTGGGCTTGTAAAGGGCTGTAATGATGATGGTAATATAAAACTTCTGTAGTGTCTGTACCAAGCGTGTTCTTGCTACAAAACGATGAGGTATTTGTAAACTAATGACAAGTGACAGGCACGTGATATGTGCATTAGGAATAGTTTCGTGATTTCGTTATTATTTCTGACACAGTTTCAACAACTCTATTAATTAATGCATATGTCATACAACGCTAAGAAAGATCTTTCTTATGTGGTAAAGCCATGTTGCAGCTATATTTTTTTGTAGCACGAATGAGTCAACTCGACTTGGAAAGACCCCGCTCTCATGGAATACCAGCGTACTTAATGCTTTTTACTGAGTGTAGAAAACCGGTGACCCTTTTTACTGGAAACGAGGCATTTCATCTTAGTCCTCGAGGGTAACAACGCATGTGCATTTTGATCTTTAACTGAGGATCGATGTAGATGTCTATGAGCCACAGTAATTGAAAGCCATTAGATGGACTGTGTGCTGGTAAAACACCCTTATAAAAAATATACCACCTGATCAACTAGTAAACAGTAATACAGCTGCTAAACACCCATGATTTCCTCCCTCCCATGGTAAGGGTTTGTCACGCTTGACAGACAGATTGACGATTCTAGTACCAGATGAATTGCGCTATTGACGCTGCTTTCTCACCCCAATCGGTATGGGTATTTAACACGTATTTCACACACTGTCTCACGGACAGCCTTTTCTTGCAAAACCCACGACATTAGATGGGTTGAAGCATTCAATCATCCTTCAAACATTCAGAAACACGTGCAACTGTTTAAAATAACAAAAATAATGTTCTTGCTGTTTTGGGATACAATATACTCGTACATACTATAATACGTATGAAATTGTACTTAACATGTTTTTATAAAAATTGTGTTGATTCACTTTTTGTGGTACAACATTTTTTTTAAAATAGATGAAAAACCTTTTTAGATGAAGTGTATGAAATATGTCTTTACACGTTAATATTCGATATGTCTCGTCACATATCGAATATTAATTATAAATATTTTATAAATTAACAGTTATTATTGTCAACGTGTAGTAGCGGTGTACGCGATGATTGGGATTGTGGTTATGTTGATGATCCCATATCATCGCGTTGGTGTCGTAAGAGGAGACGGATGACAACAAACTAGGAGATAGGCACCAGTATCTTTCTAAGAACTACTAAAAATTACAAAACTGCAATTGCCAAGCATGGCAACTATGGCAAATGGCAATAAACTTTTGACACGCTGTAACGGTAACTTTTTGTGTTTAATCTATCCTTTGCCTTCATTCCATAAATGGTTTATGTGGTGGATATTTACCGCATGTGAAATTTAATTCGCCAATGTTCTATGTCTTCATAATTCCTTAATCAATTAAGCGTATTTGCGTCGCGTCCGATATCGTGTAGAGGTGCAGGTTACGTACGGAGGGTCCTGTGCAATACGGTATGCGGTCATAATTCATTTGGCGAGGAAGTGGGCCGTACTGCCATATATAGGGAGCTATTTCGGCCGATATAGACGATGTCATATTATGTTAAGCTAGTAGGCTTCGTTATGGACTAGGGTCGATCCAACGCCTGTATTAAATAGATTACTAAATAGAGAATTTGGAAGGTTTCATTAGAAAATTGTTCATTACAGCTTTTATACTTGTATTTATTATTTCTTTAGCAAGCTTGTATATATAACTGTTTACTGTATAGTGGCGGTGTAAGAATATCCACTACCCCATATCGTCCTGAGGCGACACGACAGGGGGAAACTGAAACACGAGATGGGTAGTGGCATCTTTCTCATAACAACTTAAAATTATTTAAATAACTGCGGCTGCCAACCTACTTGCAAAGCGTTGAAACTATGGAAAATCCCCACTATGACACATTATATGGGGAGGCTTATATACAGCATTAGGTAGACCTTTAAGAGCTGTTATGAATGTATGGATGGGAAGCCTGTAGGTATATAATATTTATTTCCAAACAATAACTTCCCAAACGGTCCTAGGATTTTGTATGAAAAGCAAAATTACAAGATTCCCGTAATTTTATATATTGTAACACATTTCCTTTTCTATGCTAAAAAATAATAATAATAGGTAGCGCTTTATTGCCACAAACCTATTATAATTTGAAGCATATAGCCTGTTGAAGATTTATTATACACCATCAATACATGCATATTATAAATAATAATCACAATGTATTCATCATCCTCGCACGGTACATCGTACACGATACATAATAATATGTACATTGGCCACTTTAGCCGCCAGCGGCAGGCTTGTGTCGCACCAAATCGGTCCTAGCGTGCGGTAATTGGGCCCGTTCGGACACGTGACGACAGCGCCCAAAAGCCCCGTCCTATTTAGAACTACACACATTCCTTTACACGAATATTTCCGGAACCGTTCTCGTTTCCTCATTCACCGCTCGGCGTATATCATTTTACCACAGATTATATTTGGAGTTGGTCGTAAACAACCGCGGTCTATTTGTATATGCGGGCAAAAGGACTAAGTCTGCATTAAAAAGCATAGCAATGTCTCCTATGATATTACACCACTCAGATCTTTACTCTTTACCTTAAAAACATCCGCCTATTTACCTCCTACGGCTGGGCACCGACGTTCTTTCATTATTGATAGTGTCTGTGTGCCTTAGTAGCTCCGAGGTTAATTGTCACTAAAACACACCGTATCTTACTTTCTTTGATATTTTATTATTAATTATGCTAAAATTATTAAGTACTATTTTGATAGTGTATACTCAAGACAAATACTGCACAAAATTAAAATATTTCACAGCAGACGACTTCATTACAATTTTTATTTACATTTGCAAAGTATAAAATTCTGTTAAATTTTAATTTAAAACGACCTATTATGTCATTTTAACACAAAAAGAAGTCATTTGCAATTTATTAAAGAACGCTGTAATTAATTGTAACCGTGGCAATTCCATCAAGACTTATTAACATAAGTGGATCAAGTGTTTGCTTACTAGGTCAACAGGAGACTCCCCGGCAAATCCGGGCGCAAAGTTATTAATTGTCGCACTGGGGTTACTGTGTGCGCCGCAAAGTATTTTGGCCGAATTCCATGGCAAATTCGCAACCTCACTGAGATTGAATTTAAAAGATTAAAAGCCCTTACTAGACTTTCGTGGCGAATCGGTTCATTTTCAGATTTATTTTTTGAGAAATGAATCTATTATCTAATGTAATCAACCGACTTCAAAAAGGAGGTGAGGTTTACAATTCGTCGAAATCTTTTTTTTATGTATGTACACCGATTACTCGAAGACGCCTGAACCGAATTGGAAATTTATTTTTTTGTTTCAAAGGTTTCCCAGGTAGTCTCATTTAAATTTATTCGAAATCGATCGAGCGGTTTTAAAAAAAATCAACAATAAATTATATTTATATTGAAGTCCATTGTTCAAATTTTTTCATTTTACCACTTGCAATGCAAAAGCATAAGTATTCACATTCTTATAACGTGACGTTCGTAAGTATTTTTCAACATGGTTACTTGGGTGAGTGAGCCCGTTCTCTTCTGTCGTAAAACGTATTCTACGTAATAGATGCTCACACTACCACTAAAGTCGACTAAAAATGACAAGAAAATCTACTGATTTTCGACGGCTGTGGCAATGAAATACTAGGATATCTACTAATCTAGATTTCATTTTTGTGGGACATATAAAAAATTTGAGTTGCTATGCCAATATTATTTAAGGCAGGCTTACTTATATAGTTGACAAGCGTGGCACGGCGCCGCGCCGTACCATCTGCATCTGAAAAGTCCCTTCCGTTACTACGCACACGGCGACGCACGCGAATTGCTTTCTAACCCCGTTCGCACGAATATTTAGCAAATAGATTTAAAGTTATAGACACAACACAATAAATATGACATTTTTTTTTATAGGAGAGGGGGCAAACGTGCTTACGGATCTCCTGATGGTAAATGACTAGCACCGCCCATGAACAACTGCAATACCAAGGGAATTGCTTTTAGAAAAGAGTAAGCTCTTTTCTTGAAGGTCTCTAAGTCGTATCGGTCTGGAAAAATCGCCGGTTGTAAGCTATTCTACAGAGAGGTCGTATGCAGAAGAAAACTCCTAGTGAAACGTACAGTAGTGGACCGCCAAGTATCCAGATGGTGTTGATGGTATCGGTAATTTTGCCACGATGTGCGTTGGTGAAATTTGGCGGCTAGGATTAACCCGAACAATTCCTCAGAGCATTCCACGTAGTAGATGTGAAAGAAAATGCAAAGGGATGCAACAGCGCCAGTGAATCTAATCTTTCGGAAAGGACTCGGTCGTTAACGATTCGAGTCGTTATGCGCTGGATGCGGTCAAGTGGAAGGAGCTGGCACTGAGGAGCCCCAGCCAGATGGGAACAGTATTTCATGAGGCCGAACCTGCGCCTTCTTAAGTTGCAGGCGGTGTGCCGGCACGAAATACTTTTCCACTCTGCTGAGCACGCCAAGCTTTTTAGAAGCCAATTTGACCTTCTCTTCCAAGTGACCACGAAACTGCACGTCATTCGATATGTCGACGCCGAGGAGGATTCCGATACTGGCTGAAACAACAAGGGAAGTGCCTTGAAACTGAGGAAATACGACAAAGGGGATCTTTTTAGCGGTAAACGCGTACACTTGTATCTTCTGAGGATTAAACTGAACTAGATTTAGTCACCCCTAATCCGAGACTTTGTTCAGCAAAGACTCGACTTCAGACAAAAGTTTGTTCCAATATATGTTGTTTGTTAAAATATTGGCACGGGCGGTGTATAGAGCATCACCAGTGCTGTCGTCCGTATAGCAATGAATGTTACCAGTTAGCAACATATCATTGATATGCAGAAGAAACAGGGTTGGTGATAGCACGCAGCCTTCAGGCTTGTAATCGGAGCATGCACCGTCTACTACGACCTTGATGCTCAGAAATGTTCTAAAACTACTATTTTACAAAAGGTATTCTGTGAGACCGTTGTCCTACCCCGGTCGAGTCGGGCCGGAAAAATATCTGGGAAAATCTTGCATTCTGTGTTCTGGTTTAAAATAGCAGCTTAACGCTGCTGTGTTTCATATGGTGAGTGTAGAGAACCGGAGACCCTTTTTACTGGAAACGAGGCATTCCATCTTAGTCCTCACGGGTGACAACGCATCTGCATTTTGATTCGTAATCGAGAACAGATGTAGAAGTCTATGGGCCGCAGCAACCACTTACTATCAGGTGGACTGTGTGCTCGTTTGTCACCCTTGTCCTATAAAAAAAAACATTCATAACCTTGAAATTTCTTTTAGCGTGACATGTAAACGTAATACTTTCTTTCTTTATATATTTGCCAGGTTGTTCCCTTATTCTGCCTTATTCCTATTCCCTTCATGCAAGTACTTTATCTGTTTTACTTACATTTGCTAAGTTATGGGTAACATCTAACATACAGTTACAATCATAGTCGGCGTTGGCGCATTCGTTAGTGCTTTACTAGCACTGAGTTTTCGTTTCACAGACGTTTCTATAATCGTATTCTGACCGCTCCATCTCCTTGAGAAGCTGGGTCACTTAGAACGAGATAGAGTAATAGTTAGCATACAATAACAAGTGGTAAAATTAAAAACCAATTGTACAAACGACTTCAATATACTTAAATAAAATGAGAACATCATCAATGTAGTCCTAGTCAATTAAATACGCATTATTAAGGATAACTCAAAAGTTTCTGGTCAGATCTTGATCAAAGTTATATGGGACCACATTAGCTTTCAAATAAAAAAAGAATCATCAAAATCGGTTCACCCAGAAAAAAGTTACGCAGTAACACACAAAAAATACAGTCGAATTGAGAACCACCTCCTTTTTTTGAAGTTGATTGATAAAACAGTTTATAAGCAAAATCCCTTTCAAAAATGTTATATAAAATGTTTCACAGGCCTCTTAATGTATTTTTTACTATTTTAGTATTTTTATAGGGCTACGTAGCCTGAAAAGTGTGATGATTTCGAGATTACATAATATATTATTTTTAGGTCTTTGAGGTCGGTTTTGTTTTTTTTTTATTATTTAATTATTCTCCAAGCTATTTCGGCTTCTTGTTAGTGTTATTAAATAGTTAATAAATCTTCAAATGAAAGTATGATTCTACTATCTAATCAGTATCATGGACCTAATCACCGCGTTCTTTCACAGCCGCACCGTTCTTCATCGAGGAGCCGCAGTTCCAGAACCTCGCGGAAGGAGAGACCGCGGTGATTAACTGTCGCGCCGGCGGTACACCGGAGCCTCAGATATCGTGGGTTCATAACGGAAAGCCCATAGAGCAGGCCGAGCCCAATCCTAGGCGACAAGTCACCTCCAACTCTATCATCATCACCGACCTTGTGAAGAAGGACACGGGCAACTACGGTTGTAACGCGACCAATTCCAACGGATACGTGTACAAGGACGTCTATATAAACGTGCAATGTGAGTATACTTTGACCTACATATTTTGTTTACTACTAATGTATTTATATTTGTAAAGATTCATCATCGTTCATACATCATTGATGACAGAGGTAGGTGAATATGTTCCATTTTCATTCCTTGTAAACGTGTAATGGTATTATTTTTTACATATTTTAAGCCAGTGCTTGACTACAAGCCCTAGATGTTCAAAATATATTCATCCGTGAGAAAAAGAACGAGAACGCATTACAACATTTTAACGTAAATTATTTAAAAGAAAATTGACACGAATGTGTATTCTATTTTAATTTAGGAATATGGATATATATATTTTTTAATTTACTAATGTACATATAAGTTACATGTTGTGACAATAATTCTGGCTTTGTAATGTATACAAAAGCACTCACTAAGCTGTAATTAGGGGCGCTAAGAGATTAAAAAAAAACCGGTCTATTGCGTAAGATATTCACTCACAATCCCTCAAATACAATGGTAGAGTTTTTAGATAGACCAAATTGAAAAAACAAATACTAGCAGTGCTATTAACACCAATACTATTCTTGTTAACTGCGCAATTATGCTTAAACCAGTTAACTGCTCGTACTGGGAAATGTTCACGACAGTCTAATGGCAGATCCGAGCTCGTCACTTTAGTTTCATACTCCATACCCTCTACTAGAGGCCTTTTTTATTTATTTATTAACAGTTACACGCCATATTAAAATATATTAGTTTAGCCTTCTATATTTATTTTTTAAATATAGTTTTTGAACAGTAGGATACTGTACTATAAAAAAGGGTTGGCAACCCTAGTTACAGCATCCATTTACCAACAGTGTGGTCGTTGGTCACATTTACTTCTATATAAAAAAGTAGTAAAATTATTTAAGTAATTCAGTGGTTGCCGCCGTTGTCAAAATCAACTATGGGATATCATCATTTTAAGGCAGAAAGTATCTCCTTGACATAGAGTGCAATTTAGGAATACCCTAATACCGTGTCATATAATAAACACGTACTAACCTCGGAATTCTTTTCTACAAATAAAAATTAATTGGGCGCTTCCTGACTAGACAACCTAAAACGGTTATTCCTGTTGTTACTTTCAGTAGTCAGTTCATTCAACAGCCACCAGTAGCACGGTAAACCATAACAATAACTGTCAGTTACAATTAAGCTAAGCGTGGCAACTATGGCCTATATCCCCCCCTATGAGGCAACCTATGGGGGAGGCCTATGTTCAGCAGTGGACTTAATAGGCTGTAACGGTATATCACATAAGCAAAACATTTTGCAAACCAATTACAATATTTCTAAATAGGTCTAGGAGTTTTTTAATCTTAACAAGTTGCTTAAAGTTTGTGATGCTATAATATATTAAATTTACATAAAGCAAAAAAAAAACCAACGCTTCTAACATATAAAAGACAAAAATTGATCAAACTATTATACAATGGTCACAATCGTTAAAAATTTATGGATGTGAGGAACAAAATAAACATTACCTATGTAATGTATGTAGAAAATATATTTCTAAAACAATATTTTATATTATATTATTATAATATTAAGGAATTTATGGATGATAATAACCCCTGGGAATGGGGTGATCGCTAGGAAGCTATTTCTAATTTGTTTTGTGTGGTTAATTGTGATTTACATGATTGTAAGCTGTTATTTAGAAAAAAAGTTTCTTGCTGGTTCTTCCCAGGACAGAGGTTTTTTTTCGAACCAGTGGTAATTAAACAATAGAGTGACCGTCAGTAAGTATTATTTATAATCTATATTGAATAAAAAAGATTCTGTTTCTGTTTCAATAACTTTCTTTCTTCACCATGGTTGGATAATGTAATTTTAAAAATAGTCCCTTACCATCTTTAGATGTATCCCGCTACATTTTCATGTATATTGGAATTCTGAAGTGGAATGACCCGTGTGCTATAACGGTCAAGACCCCTCGACATTTTCCCCTCACGAGGGGATCCAAAAATGCGATAACATTTTTTCGTTCGGGGTGGACTATATTAAGGGTTGTCACGTAAATAGTATGTCGAGTTATTTGTTAGGAAACTCATTATTTTGGGATCTCTTTTTGGTAATTTTTTTAATTACTAAATATTTAATTTCAATCATCGAAGTTCTCTGTTCATGTAAAACTTGAAACTTTGACAGCATAATAAAATTTGAAAATGTTTTCTTTGTGTGTTTCTTCGGCTATTTTTCACTTTTTAGGGTTCCGTATCTCAAAAGGAAAAAACGGAACCCTTATAGGATCACTTTGTTGTCCGTCTGTCTGTCTGTCTGTCTGTCTGTCTGTCTGTCTGTCAAGACCCTTTTTCTCAGGAACGCGTGGAGGTATCAAGCTGAAATTCATATCAAATACTCAAGTCTACTGTCCCTTGTAGCTGTGAAAAAATCAAACTTCTAAGCCAACGCAATCAAAAGATACAGCCGTTTATGCCGCAAATTTTCCACATTCCCAAGGGAATCAAAACCTACAGAGTATTTCCCGTGAATTCAGAATCTTAAAATTTGGTACGAGGCAACGTATTATAGCACAGATAAAGGAAAAATTGCGAAAAACATAAATTTTTAGTTACATCATATAATAAAAATATTTTTAATAATTTTAAACTTATATATACCCACGGATTTGTTCGGAACCCTCGGTGCGCGAGTCCGACTCGCACTTGGCCGGTTTTTTATAACTATAATATTTATGTATTTGATTCAATATGCCGTTGAAATTTGTCAAAGGTAGTGTTTACGTAAGTAATAGTAGGCAATAGATTTTTGTTTAAATAGTTGTTATAACTAGAAAAAAACTAAAAAAGCAATGTTTCCCAAACTGTGTACGCCGTGATGAAATTTGAAATATCATTAATTTACAATTACAAACAATGATATGATACCTACTTAATGTTTAATGTGCATAATAATACGAGAACATTCTGATTTGTTCTCAAACATGAAGAAATGCAACACCAGAGGCGGTCGCGTGATTCCATACCGTAAAAGCTACCTGAGGCGACACATCGTTCACAGAGCTCGCCCAGGTGCGGTTTCATTTGTTTGGGGTTCGATTTCTTTATGTAATCGTTCATCCACACGGATTCATTGTATATTATTGTTGTCGTTTTTATAGAAGAGATTTATAGTTGCTGTAGGGATGCATGTGATACCGATACCGGAATAGATATATCGGCGATATTTTGAATTTGCCGATATAACGGCGTGAACAATGTTTGCCGATACATTGCTATGTTTTAAGTTTCACGCTTTAAAAAAGTAATGTAAACGCGCATTTGTACATTATTGTTTAGTTTCAAATGAGTTCTTCGCAATTCTTTGCTTTCGCCGCAAAAATTTTAAACTAAACTAACCGATTACAACCATAATTTTCAGTCTGTTGAAACCCAATTTTTTAAAATCATGGAACCTTCATTAATTTGTGTCTTATTTTATCTTCTTTTGAATTCAGTAACAGTAATAACCGTATCGGTATCTATAAGGTATCGGAATAAGCGAGTATCGATGCATCCCTACCTGTTGCGCGCATTTTTTCTCACAGTGAGTGACGTTTTTTAAAGACTTAAATTCCTTTGTTAACTGGTGAAATGTGTAATACTATTAATAAAAAACTTTTCTATTTAATCTGAAGTTATGGAAGACGTGAGATTAGGGTGTTCATATTTTTATGTAAGTGTGACAAACGAGTATATAGTCGATCATATGGTAACGGGATGCTGTGGCCCATAGATCCATAGCCCATAAACAACCTCCATCCTCGATGAAGACTTAAAATGCAGATGCGTTGTTAATCCTGAGGACTAAGATGGAATGCCTTGTTTCCAGTGAAAAGGGTCTCCGGTTCTCTGCGCTCACCATATGAAACAGTAGCATTAAGGTGTTGTTTTACGCATTCACTCTTTTTTTTTTTGTTTACCTTGCCATAACTCCCTAAAATCCTATACGTTGGAGGAAGGCAAGTTATGATAATTATTTTACAAACATGGTGCAAAACCACAGTTTATCCATTTTGATCTAAAATCTTAAGATGTAATCCATGTAGTCTAAGCTGAGCCGTATAATCGACGACCTGTTAATACTCGTAGCATGTCAGAAGTTAGAACACTTCCTAGCGATAGGATGTGCCAGTTGTATTGGGCACATCCTTATAAGATATGGGGCAGTTTCACACGCCCACACCTCAGTGCGGTACGCAATGGACGGACGTCGTTATTTGTACACCGTATAGTCTAGCGCCATTGTACATACAAGTACAAAATACAATTATTAATCTGGATACTGAAATGAAATTTCACCTTTTTCATAACGCGTGTACATGATAAATTTATGTGAATCATAATTAAATATCAAAAATTTATCTATTCTGAATAAAACATTACTGAAGCTGTGGAGACATTATGTTTGTACATAATAATGTTGTCGATTTAGAATGATGGCAAAGATTTTCGGTTTATATAACTAGAAATTTTCAGCCGCGCATGATACGATACGTGTGTGTTCATTCTCTATATTGCGCTATAATAAAATGGCTGCAGTACGAATTGGCAGTTCGAACTAAAGGACCACGCTTTCACAGAATAACACCGTAAGATAGCAGCATAATGTGCTTCTTTTGGTGAGTGTGGAAAACTGGAGCCCTTATTTACTGGTAACGGGGCATTCCATTTCAGTCTTCAGTCTTCATTAATCATTGATGTAGGTGTCGATGAGCCCCATCATCCTCTTACCATTAAATGGACTCAGTGTATATTTGTTAATCTTACTTGTTTCAATAATTTAAAATTAAAAATTTTGTACAACCGACTTCAATATAAATTATTAAGAATAACTCAAAAACTATTGGTCGTACCTTGATCAATATGGGACCACATATGAAGCACCAGCTTTCAAAAAAAAAAAGAATCATCGACAGCGGTTCAATCAGTAAAAAGTTATGAGGTAACACACATAAAAAACATACAGTCGGTAGAAAATATGGAGTAACCGAGATACAGAGACTTACAGGAACACCCAAACCATAAAACAAACGAGTGCAAAAACATAAATTGTACCTGCAGGTAAAATACTCCAGCTGTAATACCCAGGACCCACTATTCAAGGTAGAGTTACATAACAGATGCAAATTGTCATCTATAATTTGTACGGTTGGACTCCTTACTGCGTATTATGGTATGGTTGAAACATACCTACGATATGGCGTAATATTTTGGGGTAACTCTTGCGAAAAAGGAATGTTATTCACGGCCCAAAGAAATTGTATACGCTTCATGTTTAAGTTGAAGAGTACCGATAGCTGTAAGTCATATTTTAAACAATATAATATATATAATATATATATATATATATATATATATATATATAATAATATATATATATATATATATAATAATATATATATATATATATATATATATATATATATATATATATATATATATATTAGAGATGCCAGTGTTTGTAAAGTCGAACCATAACCGTTTTAAATGCCTGGCAGACCTTGCCCCAAGAAACAGACTCGACAGTAATAGAGTTTACGTTCCTAAAGGAAAAACAGCACTAATACGCAACAGTGTCTGCTGTGTGAGGCCGGCTGTTTACAACAAATTACCCAAGTGTTGGAGGGATCTCAACACTTCATTATTTAACACAAGGCTACGAAACTTTTTAGCAGACTAGGTGTACTATAATATTAATGAATGTTTAATGGACAAAATGTTATATTAAAATTTGTCACATGGATATTTATTTATAAATTGTATTATTATTAATGTAATTCATTTGGCAATGGCTTATAATAATTAAATAATAGTGATAATAATGTACCGATTGACTTATTAGACTTACATGTAATTTGAAGAGACTTTTTTTTTATTTTTGTTAATCTAATGTTATATTGTATTGTTAATGACATATCTACGTAAATTGATAAAAAAATATTTTATACTTTTTGCATGCCTTCTGGTAAAATATGGTGGAATCAATACTGTACCGGGTGTTACAAAACTACCCGTAAAGGAGGTTAAATGGGGACTTATAACGAGTTCATTCACAATATTTAAGAACCGTAGTAACGCTGTATAACATACTCCAAAAAAATTAAAAATATATTATTATTTTCACTAATGTGCAAATCCTATTTCAGTAAAATTAAAGAGTAAACTACACAGAATGTACCTACATTTCTACCTAATTCGCGGAATGACAAAAATTTTAAAAGACCTAAAGAACAACCTAAACGAACACTTACTTTTCTGTCGACTTCTAAAAAGGAGACGGTACTGAATTCGAGTGTATTTTTTTTTTATGTATGTTACCTCATAACTTTGTACCTGGGGAACCGATTTCGATGATTCTTTTTTTATATGAAAGCTGATAGTTCTCGTGTGGTCCCATATGAATTTGATCAAGGTCAGACCAATGGTTATTGAGTTATTCTTAAATAACTTATATTGAAGTCGGCTGTACAACATTTTTAATTTTAAATTATTCATAATAAACGTCAAATTTACAGAAACGGCTCAAAGTGTGCTCCGCCTTGCTCAATACACAACCTCGCTCGTCGGGATATGAGTTGTGTGGCATTTCGCACCATCGTCGGTGTTATTGATGCGAAAACCGATCTAATACGCTGTGGCATCTCACAACCGTTGGGCAACCGTTGGGCAATCGGAGAAATACACTCTGTCCTTCACATAACCCCACAAAAAGAAGTCCAAGGGTGTGAGGTCCGGAGAACGAGCAGGCCATAGCACCGGTCCCCACGGCCGATCCATCCTCGCGCAAAGCGAACGTTAAGATGTTCTCGTACGTTGCGAACAAAATGTGCCGGAGCTCCATCATGGTGAAACAATATGTTTCTTTGGTTCTCAAAGTAATCCCAGTCAGCCACAGGAAAGTCATCAATCGCCTCTTCGAATTCTGTTTGTAAAAACGTTAGATAGTTGCTACCTTTCAGACGTGATGGCGTGATAATGACGGGACCGACCGACCCGTCATAAAGGTCAGCCCACTTAATAAACTAAATTTGTATAAACACTGGAAAAGTATGAGATAAAAATCAAAGCCCAAAAATTTTTCTTCAAAGTCAACGTATTCAACTAGTGGAAAAAGCTATTCCCTACGTAACAAAAAATGTCAGAATGTGGAAATTTCGATTGAAGGAAGGAGAGGAATGAGGAGATTTCGAAAACGTTTACCAGGAGAAATGACCCGATATGCTGGACTAACATTGCCAGAGGAGCTGCAGAGAGCTATGTTAGAATGCCTTGACAGATTTTACGAGGAACTAGACTATCGCTACTGAGCAATGGATGATATTCTCGTAACATTTAGTGTTGTTCAGCCTTACAGTCTGCTAACGTCACCAGATGAAGATCTTCAGATAATAGTTCAAAATCTGACAAAAATCTGCGATGATTTTTCTGCAGGATATATAATTTTGGAGATTTCACGACTTGAAAGCTATCAGCATTTCTTCCCAAGAAGCGGTTCAAGATAACTCATTGAAGCTTTTCTCGTAAAATTGGGCAATTCTGAATCTGTTCCGAATCTGACGCTGTGTCTAAGATTTTTTTTTTACTATTAAGTTTCATGTGAAAGAAGCTTATCAAAACTCAATTTAATAAAATCTAACTTAAGGTTCACAATGAGCCAAGCGGGACTTACCAATTTTTCCATTTTATCTATCGAAAATGACAAGAAAGTAAACTTTGATAATATATTAGAATATTTTAGCAAAATAAAGTCCCGTTAGCATGTATAGCATTTTTTGTTTTATTTTGGGGGGTGCTTGATAGAAAACCGCCCTGGGTGTCAACCCACGCTACGCCGCCACTAGCTACCGTAAGGTTGGATACTGTAGCGAAACAATAATGTAATCAAAATATTAAACGGAGTTTAATACTATTCAGCACTTTCCATATTGAAAAAAATACGCATATCGTTTTCCGTGATGCTTTATACACTAATAATATTCTCAAAATATTGTATCATGGACACTATTAGAAAGAAATGCAACGCCTAACTCGGTGCCTTTCATTCATTTCAAGATTACTGATTTAGGAACGTTTCTCTAGTATGAAGTGCGCACTCCCTATATTTTACAATCTCCTTGGATGGTTTGACATGACAGTTTATTAGGGTTGACAAAATTTTTGGCGTTGATAATCTATACTAATATAATAAAGCGGAAGAGTTTTTTTGTTTTTTTGTTTGTTTAAACGCGCTAATCTCTGGAACTACCAGTCCGATTTGAAAAATTCTTTTTGTATATTATAGCCAGATTCATGTGGAATAGTATAGGCTATCTAGCATTAAGCTATATTACTCAGCTAGCCTTAAATATGGATATTTGTTAAGCAAGTCAGAAGAAAAAGCACTCCCGAAATGATTTATCCGCGTACGCTGGTGTTATCGTTAGGGATACGTAAATACAATGTTCTAGAAAATCATAGACCTTTACTCCGTCTAAAAAAAAGTCCGCGATGCCATATGTCTATTTTTTATACATAAGCCATAATTTGGTATTTTGTGACAAAAAATATTGAAAATTTAAAAGTGATTTATGAGCGTTATTATTAGGCATGGCCTATTTATCCTTACGAACGAAAGTTACTTCATCATCAAGACAATTTTATGAAGATAAACTTTGTTCTTTATACTATATTATTTGGACGCATAGTTTAAGAGATAGTGTAAAATTAAAATAATTCAATACTTGGCTGGGCGCGCGAACGATGCTTAAACCCTAGCCGTTATAAAATGCTTGAACTAGATCATGTCGCGCACCTTGGACACGTGATGACGCGGGTGAAACTGCGGGGCACAGCTATTAATTATATTTTTACGGGGTATTTTGTAACACGTTGTATATTTGTCACCACATTCTGTATCACCCATATTTGTAAAATAAAGAAATTCAATCATTCATTTCAATGTAATAGATAGCATAATTGTTTTTCGATCTAAAAATACGTAACCCCCTCAGTAGGATTTTCTTCTGTATCGTGAAAGGAGTTTGCATACATAAATTGCACAAGAACAAACATCCAGACCCGGAACAATTACTTGTAGGTCATACAAATACTGTTTCGAATTTAATATGATATGTAACTTTACTTTGCATAGTATAATACATAAATAAGCAAGCTTGAAAATACTACACTCTAATAATTTTCATACTCTGTTACAGCTATACCACCCGAAATTAAAGAAGGTCCGGAAAACCTTACGAAAGTGGACGGTTCCGAAGCTGTATTGAAATGCCGTGTTTTCGGAGCTCCCAAACCTATCGTTAAGTGGATGCGGGACGATGTTGATGTTACCGGTGGCAAGTGAGTATTGAATCTCTATATAGTTCAAAACCTACGTACCGATGTTAACGAGTGAGAGAGGGAATGAGTACGACAGTGTCTACCCATTTCGGCATAAATGTGAAAGAATGTTAGAAAAATCAGAAGACGCAGTAATTATGGCACCAATTGCTATTGTTGGCTCGTTAATAGAATATTAAACTGATTTCCTTTTATATTATTGCACTAAATAAAAACCTCTATATTCTTTATAAAGTAAAGTATCTTCATATTATGTCGACTAAATGATCATTAATCTTCTGACAAACAGGACACCTGGGGCCATTGTTTTAAAACAAGCGCATCAAAATTACTAAAATAAGTCTTACAAAGAACTTCCTACAAGAATACTTTATCTCAATCATAGTACTATGTAACAATTCCATTTAATGTTATGGCAACACTAGCTAAAACAAAATGTCACTGTTTTTTTAACTAACTTTACGGCTCTGGGGTCTAGCCTTTCTGAGAATGTCACTGTATGACACAAAGACCCTGGAGCCGTGCCAGAAATATACATTTATAATATTTAAATATATAATAGACATATAGTAATCTAAAAACTCTCAATTATGTAGGTAGGTATATTATGTTGAGAATGTATTAAGCTAACTTCAAACAACCACAGGACGCATAGTGACATAAGACACCTAAAAAGGTTCAAATCTAAATATCATTTTTTGACGCCTTCTCAGGACAAAATTCTTTAACAAAGTTATTCAGGGTCTGACGCTTAACATTTTAAGATATTTTTTATATATAGATGCTACCATTCCTTCTCAACTAATTTTATGTATGAAAGTCTGCCATTGTTCTTCAAAGCTAACGTCTTTATTCCCTGAGCTACGGCGTGTTTTCGTACGAAATGATGTCCGTACTATGTTAACCCACAGGTACAACATAACTCCGGAGGGCGACCTGGTAATACGCGACGTGTCCTACACCGACGTTGGCACCTACGAGTGTTACGCCAAGAATAAGTTCGGGGAGAAGTCTGCGTTTGGCTCGCTCGACGTCAAGAGTAAGTAATACTTTTTATCGTACTCATATCCCCAAAATACAATTTGTGTTTTTTTATATCTTTAACATGCACATGAATATTATATTACAATATATGTTATGACGTTATATATAAAAGAGTATAAGTAATGTTATTAATATTGCTAAAATTCTACTTTACTAATGTTATTATCATTACTAATATTCGTAATATTATTCATTGTTTGTTTATTTATTTATTTGTGATAAAACTTTACGAAGATATAGAGAGCTATAATGTATAGTGATGTAAGCTATATTTTAGTGAAGTGGAAAAATCGATAGAATAAATGGCCGGGCCGCTATTTCTAAATAAAAAAGAGTGTTACTAATGTTGATAGGCGTGTCTCATATTATAATATTTTTGTTAAATAAATGAGAGTATTGTGTGTTGTCCGCACGCAGAGCGCACGGTGATCACGGACAAGCCGGACAACTACGAGGTGGCGGCGGGCTCGTCGGCCACGTTCCGCTGCAACGCGCACGCCGACGACTCGCTGCGGCTGCAGATCGTGTGGCTGAGCGGCGGCCAGCCCATCGACTTCGACAGCCAGCCGCGCTTCCGCGTCACCAACGACCACTCGCTGCTCATCTCCGACACCAGCGAGCTGGACTCCGGCGAGTACACCTGCATCGCGCGCACGCAGATCGACGAGGCGCGCGCGCAGGCCACGCTCACAGTGCAGGGTACGTCATAGCTTCTCCCGCCCACTCGCTGCTCGCTGCTCGCTGCTCGCTCCGACACCAGCGAGCTGGACTCCGGCGAGTACACCTGCATCGCGCGCACGCAGATCGACGAGGCGCGCGCGCAGGTCACGCTCACAGTGCAGGGTACGTCATAGCTTCTCCCGCCCACTCGCTGCTCGCTGCTCGCTGCTCGCTCCGACACCAGCGAGCTGGACTCCGGCGAGTACACCTGCATCGCGCGCACGCAGATCGACGAGGCGCGCGCGCAGGCCACGCTCACAGTGCAGGGTACGTCATAGCTTCTCCCGCCCACTCGCTGCTCGCTGCTCGCTGCTCGCTCCGACACCAGCGAGCTGGACTCCGGCGAGTACACCTGCATCGCGCGCACGCAGATCGACGAGGCGCGCGCGCAGGTCACGCTCACAGTGCAGGGTACGTCATAGCTTCTCCCGCCCACTCGCTGCTCGCTGCTCGCTGCTCGCTCCGACACCAGCGAGCTGGACTCCGGCGAGTACACCTGCATCGCGCGCACGCAGATCGACGAGGCGCGCGCGCAGGCCACGCTCACAGTGCAGGGTACGTCATAGCTTCTCCCGCCCACTCGCTGCTCGCTGCTCGCTGCTCGCTCCGACACCAGCGAGCTGGACTCCGGCGAGTACACCTGCATCGCGCGCACGCAGATCGACGAGGCGCGCGCGCAGGTCACGCTCACAGTGCAGGGTACGTCATAGCTTCTCCCGCCCACTCGCTGCTCGCTGCTCGCTGCTCGCTCCGACACCAGCGAGCTGGACTCCGGCGAGTACACCTGCATCGCGCGCACGCAGATCGACGAGGCGCGCGCGCAGGCCACGCTCACAGTGCAGGGTACGTCATAGCTTCTCCCGCCCACTCGCTGCTCGCTGCTCGCTGCTCGCTCCGACACCAGCGAGCTGGACTCCGGCGAGTACACCTGCATCGCGCGCAAGCTACGCTCACAGTGCAAGGTACGTTTTAATATTCAAATTGTGGGACTGAGCGCACTGACATCGTCAAATCACGTGCATACCACATTTACCTTTCTGCTAATATAGCTCTTAAGTCACAAATTTACTTAACACTACAATACACTTAGTTTTATTTAAAGAACCAATTCAAATATACTCAAAAAAGTGTTTCTTCAAATTAATGGTAATAATAATACATTTTACCATACCAAACACTGAAAACTTTTACAGACAAGCCGAACCCACCCGCACTTGACGGCGTTGAGTGCCACGAGAAAGTAGCAACACTTCGCTGGCACTCCATGGGAGACAACCGAGCGCCTATCCTTCGCTTCTCTATACAATACAATACAACGTTCACGCCCGACTCCTGGGATATAGCCAGCGACAATGTGCCCGCCATTGACACGTCGTGGACTGTTGAACTAAGTCCTTGGGCCAACTACACCTTCAGGGTCATCGCTTGGAACAAGATCGGGCCCTCTACGCCATCATCCCACTCTGACGTTTGCACGACCCAGCCCGATGTCCCATATAAGAACCCGGACAATGTAGAAGGCAAGGGACGCGATCCCACAAACATGGTTATTTCTTGGACGGTGAGTTTTTTCATGTAATTTCTCATAAGTTCATGAATCATCTTTATTTTTTTATGCTGAATCAAAACTTAGAATTACAATACTTTATTAAATACCAATTACACCAACATCTTCCTAATAACGACTAAAAATAAAAAACTACGGTTGCCAATCAGCTTGCAAATATCCTCCCCGTGTGGTAATTTAGTAACTGTAGCTGTCTATGGCTCGACATAGTCGACATGCGTAGACTGTAGCTAGTGTAACGGCATGAATGTATTAAGTCGCCGTTCTCTTTTACAAGTGTCGGCATCCTTTTCTCCACCAAATACAATAACAAACTGCTAATTATACTCTTACACTGGCTACAATTAGAGTTCAAATAAATTTTTTTTGCGCATTTATGTCATTTCGACGAACATAATATGAACTAGTACTATCCGACCACGTTCTCGCGTCGGTCGTCGTGTTGCTAGTCGAAATGAACGTTATGGAGTTTCAATTTAGCCGACTACGGATTCGACTAGTCTATTGATTGATCGTAAACGGTCTACTCGATCACAGTACGTCGACGGTCGAATTAACTAGTTCGTTCATTTAACGCCCTCCGCTAGATGAAATTGTTAAAAATATCAAAGAGGTGAACTATAGTCTATTCGCTTAGATATGGTCGCCTTTGTGTCACGCCGCCGTGGCATGTGCTGTATCTTGTTAAAGGCGCCGCCGCGACATCCAAAATCGCCGCGTCCGGCGCACACCTGCAGGAGAATTTGGCATTTTAAAACGAAGCGCCATAGTAAAAGTGTCTTTGCTACCTAACATCTGTTTATTATTTATATTCGTATTATAATTACAATAACTATAGTAATAAAATAGTTTTCTATTTTATTTTTAGAATAGAAAAACATTTATTTAATACACGAAAAAAAATATAATAATACAAAATCAAAATAATAAGTGTGCCCCCAGGTGTATCGACACTATCTAAGCGAACAGACTATATTTAAGTGGGGAGCGGTTGCGTCAGCGAGTTGTATAAATAGCAGCTGGTTTGGCTCGCCGCTCACTTAGCGGTCAATTACCGCAGAGTCTACTTCACCTGAAGATGCTTCGTTTAGAGGCATGACATTATTGTTATGATGAAGATGTATTATTCAAATTAGGCAATGAAATTTGATGTGTGTCGGTGACAGAAAATGCCGCAAATCGAGCACAACGGGCCCGGGTTCTACTACCTGGTGTCGTGGCGGCGCAACATCTCGGGGCAGGCGTGGAGCGAGCAGCAGGTGCCCGACTGGCGCGACACCGAGCTCGTCGTGCCCAACACGCCCACCTTCCAGCCCTACCGCATCAAGGTACCCACACACTTGTCTACATCGGACGCCAACTATGCATACACTCTTTGTTCTGCCGCCAACATACATAGACTAGGAGATGGTGACAGAAAATAGTCTCCCATTTTCTCCTGCATGCCTTTTTAAGAATTGATAACTAACCCTAAAATATGAAAGATAGAGGGGTTACTAGCCCCTGCGCGCTTGGACGTCATAAAGAAAATTGCTTCTCTTTGTGTAAAGAATTTTAGTATTTTCCCGTGACATTATATTGCATGCCTTTGTAATATAACGTAGTTGGAACAAATTTAAGCTATAATAAATGATGGCATGCTATTCGCAACGGCCGACGGGACTCAAAGGGTTACGTAGCAATGGAAAAAAAAATACAACATTTCCGTGTTTACAAATTGCATGTCGTTGTAAAAATTAGTTTTTTTTTATCTCAAAAATACTCGTACGAAAATTAGCATGCACCCCTCGTAATGACCAAGGGTGGAAAATATTAGGAAAATGTTGTGAAAATTCAATACAACTTTTCCGTGATTTCAAACTGCATGCCATTTGAAAAATACTTAATTTTTATAATTTATTGACGTTAGCAAATTTGGCATGCACAACAGGAAGTTGTAAAGTAGTGGCATGCATGACGAAAATTGCAAAAAACGCTGTTATAATTTCCGTAACTTTATTTTGCATGCCATTCAATATTTCATTAAAAACATTATTTTAAGTTGATAAAAAAATGGCATGCATATTACACAAGCCTGACATAAAAACTTGTGCAAAAATACTTAGCAGTGAAAAGAGCCAGTTGGTTTAGCCATTGACTTGACTTATTAGGTTAAGTATATATTACTGAATAGTCTGATATCAATTGTTTTAGCCGAGGTTGTAGTCATAGCTGCAGTCATGGCTACATCATAACCTCAAAAGTGACGAAATACATAAGTGTAACGTTCTATGATCCTCGGCTTTTGAATAATATATTTTCAATTTAGGATTTAGATTGTGCTCAGGGGGAACGGATTAATCCATACACTAGTCATGTTCGCGATATTTTATAGCCAGGTCACAGCATGTATGGGCCGTGACCTATGTTCTTTACGTTGATTTTTATGTTAATTAGGCGATTCTTAAATTCGTCATTGTCTCTTGCCTTACAAAAAGACTAAACCTTCAAATAATTTTCTCCCACAGGTTATCGCCGTTAACTCTAAAGGAACTTCAAATGTAGCTCCTGTTGAGGTTATTGGTTGGTCTGGAGAGGACACCCCGTTACAAGCGCCTACCAACTTCACCCTCGTCCAGGTTACTACAGGCACCACCGCACTTCTAAGATGGGATCCAGTTCCACCTGAATCTGTGCGTGGACACTTCAAAGGCTACAAGATTCAGACCTGGACTGATGGAGAAGAGGACAGCATCAAAGAAATTCTCGTTAAAGCTGACGCATCAAGTGCTCTGGTTTCTAAATTTAGACCTTTCAAGAAGAACAATGCAAGAATTTTAGTTTACAACGGTCGTTACAACGGACCGCCAAGTGAAATTTTAAGCTTCCTAACTCCGGAAGGCAAACCTGGTACCGTAAAAACCTTCGAAGCCTACCCCATTGGTTCGTCGGCTATGCTTCTCAAATGGGACAAGCCGATTGAGGAAAACGGTGTATTGACTGGCTACAAGATATACTACCAGAAAGTAACAGGCACTGCACTAGGACCCTTGCAAGAGAGAAAGAAGGAAATAGATCCAAAATTCGATAGAGCAAAATTGGCCGGCTTAGAACCAAACACCAAGTATAGAATCGAGATTCGTGCAAAGACCAAAGCGGGTGAAGGAGACAAGTATTACGTGGAACAAACTACCAAGGCCATGGTGAACGCTAAGCCTGATATACCAGTGTTCGAAACCATGACGGTACCAGCTAAGGAAGGCACTGCCCACATACTCGTACGTTGGTTACCATCGCTGGATGGTCATCCTGGAACACATTTCGTTGCTTGGTACAAACTGAAGGGTCATCCTGAATGGTTGAAGACTAATGAAATAACTGAGGACGACTATGTCATACTGACAGGACTTGAGCCAGGTCAGGTTTACGAGGTAAAGGTGACCGCGCACGATGGTGAATACTTCAGTACAAGTGAAATTAAGGATGTTGATACCACAATTGGTAAGTCAAAATAATTTGATTGAATAATTCTAAGTATTGCTTATTGTATCACTTTTTGGTGGCTTCTTATGAGAGTCCTTCACCCTGTGGATGTTAGTGGTGATTTTGGGATATGCTCGAATATGTCTTAATGACGATATAATTATTTTGTGTTTAAAAAGTAAATTTACATTTTATATAGGTATGTCTCACTAGAAATGGATGTTATTTTCTTTGAGTGACTTGGTGCTGGATTAAGCCTCTTGCGCTGTTTTTTTTTGTGTATTGAAGGTCTAAAATATGGTTATTTAATATCTTAGATGTGCAGGTTTTTGAACAATTATCACTACTCCACACGTGGTGGATTTCATATTTATATCAAACGTAAAATTCTTTCATCGTCACTGTGAACGCTAGTCCGTTTGCCATGCATATTTGATCTTCAATTGAAGAGGCTCATGTCCAGTAAAGGCCTGATAAATGAGTCGATAATAAGAATAGTCTGTATTACAGTGAAACCTGGATGAACTGGGACCTTAAGCGACCTGCAAATTTGTCTCACTTAAAGAGGTATTCCACTTACCCAGTATCTCAGGTATCCAGGTATAAATAAATACACTCTTTTACAGAGGGTTCCATTAATAGAGGTGAGAATAGAGGTTATTTCAGTTACAGAGGTGCGATTATTAAATAATATAACATATTTTGTAAACATTATACATGAGTTGTAATCCTCATTTAGAATTAAAATAGCTATTAAACAAAAATATTTGAATAAAACTATTTTTACGGATTTTGTCGCGTTTAATTAACTTATTTTATATTCCCGACGTTTCGGTTGCTTTCCAGCAACCGTGGTCACGGGTGACTGAGGTGATTGACGTCCCGATGTCAGTGTTAAACCGGAGTACCTTCAGCTTTTTTAATTAATAATTTTGGTCCGATCTACGCAGAATGAACTAACTGTGTCTTGAAGTCTTGCAGTGGTATGCTTGGGTTTAGTTTTAATTTTATGAATTACAGGATCCCAAGCAGGTGGTAGTACCCAGCCTCCCTCTCTATTGAAATTAGGATGTTTCTTAATTTCAATAGCCTCACGTATCATCCTTGGGAGGAATCGATGTTCTTTCGCGAGAACTTGTGGTTTATCAAATCTAATGTAATGGCGGGGACCATCACAAACTGCAGACTTCCCGGAACGTTGGTGCTTCACGTCAGCTATGTGTTCTATTACGCGGGTTTTTATAGATCGTTTTGTTTGCCCTATATAATATGAGAGACCACACTCACAATCAAGCTTGTACACTCCTGCATCTTGTAGAGGAATATTGCATTTGACGGATGGTAAGAACTGACTAATCTTCTTCGGCGGCTTGAAGAATGTTCTAATAGAAGCACGCTTCGAGATGTAGCCAATCTTGTCTGTGACACCTCTGACATACGGTAGTACAGCAGGCACACGCTCGACTGTGGCCGGCTTCACTCGGTCACTGTGACGTAGGCGCGGAACCCGAAGCTTGTTGTCGTGCAGAACTTGCTTGACGTGCTGAAGCTCGGCGGCCAGGTGTTTGCTGTCACAGATCCCTCGTGCTCTCTGCAACAAAGATTTGCCCACGGTAGCTAACTGTGAAGGGTGATGGTGGGATTCACCGTTTAATTATCGGTTTGTATGGGTCTTTTTTCTATACACAGTGTGACCTACTGGTGAGCCCATCGCAACACCATCTACTTGCTTGTAAAACTGTTCCTTCCACAATAGATAGCCAGATGTAAGGCAATGTCTGAGTAATACTGCATATTCTGCTGGCATGTTGTTTTCCTCTAGTTTCCTAGTTACAATTGAGATGCAGTCTTCAACAGGTAGGCATGTAAATAGAGACTGAACATCAAAACTGACCATAGTTTCATTGTCAGTAAGACATAGGTCTTTTATCTCACTGACAAAATGGTATGAATACTTCGTGTGTGTGTGTGTGTGTGTGTGATAGTACTTTTGCTAGGTGTTGAGTCAATTTGTAAGTTGGCGAATCGATCTGACTCACTATTGACGTAATGGAGCGTTCGGTTTGTGTATTTTTGGTAACCCATACAACTTCGGTGGTTTCGCACACGCAGGTATTATCTAATTAACGTCTAGATTCAATTTCTCGGAGTATTTCTTTATTAGATCGCTAGTTGTTTTAAGCGTATTAGTTGTAGGGTCTGTTTTGGCCTTTACGTACGTACTTTCATCCGATAAATGTTGTTGTATTTTAAAATTGTAATCCGACGTATCCATTATAACCGTAGCATTACCTTTATCTGCGCGGAGAATCGTAAGATCTAATCTGTTGCGTAAGTTTTTCAGTGCAATGAATTCATCTTTGGGAAGATTTCATTTCGGCGTTGAGCTTCGACGTAACAAGGACGATATGTCTTGACGTATGGCCTCTCCATCTTCATTACCAATATTATTTTTATACAGACAGTCCTCAACACTACAGATAATGTTTTCATACGGAATTTTTTGCGGTGTTATTGCGAAATTCATGCCTTTGGCCAAAACTTTTATTGTCGCGTCGTCCAGAGATTGTTTTGACAGGTTGTAGACCGGACGTTGTTTATTACTCGCGTCTGTTGTCAATGGTTGCGTTCCGTTCTTACGTTGACATTGGTGTTGGACATTTGATTTGGTTGTTAGTTTTTGGTATTTATCTATATGTTTATTTTTGCATTCATTGTATTTAGTTGTTTCACGTTTATCTAAAGTTTCCATGCATTTCTTATAATCAAATGTCGATAAAACTGTCTTTAGATCACTGGACTTGTCTATGGTTTTATTAATGAAATGTCAGAGGTGTCTCAGACAAGATTGGCTACATCTTGAAGCGAGCTTCTATTAGAACATTCTTCAAGCCGCCGAATAAGATTAGTCAGTTCTTACCATCCGTCAAGTGCAATATTCCTCTACAATATGCAGGAGTGTACAAGCTTGATTGTGAGTGTGGTCTCTCATATATAGGGCAAACAAAACGATCTATAAAAACCCGCGTAAAAGAACACATAGCTGACGTGAAGCACCAAGGAAGTCTGCAGTTTGTGATCATATCCTAGACGGCCCCCGCCATTACATTAGATTTGATAAACCACAAATTCTCGCGAAAGAACATCGATTCCTGCCAAGGATGATACGTGAGGCTATTGAAATTAAGAAACATCCTAATTTCAATAGAGAGGGAGGCTGGGTACTACCACCTGCTTGGGATCCTGTATTTCATAAAATTAAAACTAAACCCAAGCATACCACTGCAAGACTTCAAGACACAGTTAGTTCATTCTGCGTAGATCGGACCAAAATTATTAATTAAAAAAGCTGAAGGTACTCCGGTTTAACACTGACATCGGGACGTCAATCACCTCAGTCACCCGTGACCACGGTTGCTGGAAAGCAACCGAAACGTCGGGAATATGAAATAAGTTAATTAAACGCGATAAAATCCGTAAAAATAGTTTTATTCAATGTGTAGTGTTCGCGTAAATATAAGAAATCAAAAATATATGAAATAAACATCCGGACGATAGCAAAACCGAACTAAAACTGGAAGTCACTTTTACACAATTAACAAAGTGCGGAATTTGCGGGTAGAATAACATTTAGTTAACAAAATATATTCTCAGTAAAAGAGCTAAAATATACTCGCTGTCTCACTTAGAGAGGTAATTATGTCGAATAAATTCGAAAGAACTAATCCTTAAAATATAGTCTCAGTAGAGGAGGTAAAATACACTCGCTGTCTCAATTATAGAGGTAATTATGACGATAAAATCGCAAGAACTAATCCCAGATATAACGGTTTGTTTTGTCTCACTAACAGAGGTAATTCAGTGCTAAAGTGTCGGGACCTAAACATGAGTTCCAGCTATGGAAGTTTCTCACTTATCCAGGTCCCACTTAACCAAGTGTTACTGTATTACGATCTAATTAAAATAGATAATCGTTCTTGGGTCCACTAAAAATTTTAACGTAACTTAATTTTATTACACAAAAAAAAGATACCAATTTATTATAGTAAACGGCCTAAAGATTTAATGAAAATCTAACCGGGAATCATGAAATCTGAAAAAAAAAAACAGTTGTTTTGATATTCGTCTTCTGGCTAATGTAATATGAAAAAATATGCGTATAACGAACAGGGGTGTGAAAGTCCTCAATAGCTTCTTTTTACGTTGATACTAGCGCCATCACATAGACAACAAAAGCACTACACAGTTTTTTCACATTTTGTTCAAGAGATGGCGCCACTACCGGTATTTATATTATTTATTATTCATTTCAATAAATAAAAAACAGTTATTATTTTATTACTATTGTAAGTACTATAATATTTTGGACATTAGCTATAGACAGGGGTATAAAAAGTCTTCAGTAGCTCGCTTTTACGTTGATACTAGCGCCATCTCGGTCATTAAAATTACTATTTTTCCCAATATTTATACACATTTTATTAAAAAGATGGGCGTCAATGCTGGCATTTATTATTTATACCGAAGTTTAAATCATATACATATATTAATTGTTAATTTCTCATTGTGCCCGTTAGATACTGTAAAACTAATTAAGTAAATATAATTACTTTTGTAATCTATAGGTTATAAGAAATAAATCAACATGTATTTCATTGAGTTACTCCACAATTTGTGGTGGACCCAATCTCCATACAAAAAAAATGTCTCCTTTGAGTTCGGTATTATAGGGGGATCAAAAAGTTTTGGCCCTTCGAGTCGGATACTCTAAAAGTATATTTAAATGGCTTTTTATTAATATATTTAAGAAATGAAAGATGATATTCCGGACGTCAGTCTGAGCGAGATCAGAATGGCTCTCCAACACCTTGAAAACGGCAAGGCCCCGGGTGAGAATGGAATCACAGAGGAGCTTTTGAAAGCAAATGAAAAACCGGTTCTTGAAGTCCTTTCAGAAGCTCTTTAATTCCGTCCTCCAAGGTGACACTACACCGGAGGCGTGGAGCAAAAGTGCGGTGGTCTTGTTCTTCAAGAAAGCTCGCTGTCTTGAAGCTTCAGACCGATTTCCCTTCTGAGCCGCGTCTACGTGCTGTTTTCGAGAGTCATTACGAATCGTCTCGCATGCCGACTCGACGACTTCCAACCTCCCGAACAAGCCGGTTTCCAAAAAGGCTTTAGCACCATAGACCACATACATACACTTCTGCAAATTGTACAGAAGTCTGAGGAGTATAATTTGCAACATGTCATGTCTGGCGTATGTGGACTATGAGAAAGCTATTGATTGGTGCTGCAGTCCCTTCATCGGTGCCAAGTTGACTGTCGGTATATTGAAGTGCTGAAGTGTTTGTACAGTAGGGCTACGATGGCTATCCGAGTACAGAGCCAGAGTACGAAACCTATCCAACTGCATAGAGGTGTAAGACAGGATGACGTTATATCCCCGAAATTCTTCACCGCTGCATTGGAGGACGTTTTCAAGCTTCTAGACTGGAAAGGATACGGTATTAACATCAATGGTGAGAACATCACTCACCTTCGATATGCCGACGATATAGGCCTTATGGAAGAATCGCTGGAGGACCTCAGCACTATGCTCAATGACCTCAATAGTGCCTCCCAACGGATAGGTCTTAAGATGAACGTGAACAAAACAAAGATCATGTATAACGTCCATGTCACACCTATGCCGGTAATTGTTGGAAGCACTAAGCTCGAAGTTGTTGATGAGTACGTTTACCTGGGACAAATAGTCTGACTAGGTAAGCCTAACTTCGACCGAGAGGTCAATCGACGGATTCAACTCGGCTGTGCAGTGTTCGGGAAATTACGGCACATCTTCTCGTCAGGTATACCTCAAAACTTGAAAACGAGACTGTACAACCAGGCGTGTTGCCAGTGATGACCTATGAAACTGAGACGTGGTCCGGCACTGCTGGCCGGATGATGAAGCTCAAGGTCGCTCAGTGAGCTATGGAGAGGGCTATGCTCGTAGTTTCTCTGCGTGATAAACTTAGAAATGAGGATATCCGCAGCAGAACCAGAGTGACCGACATAGCCCAACGGATTAGTAAGCTGAAGTGGCAATGGGTCGGGCATATAGCTCGAAGAACCGACAACCGATGGGGAATAAAGGTTCTCGAGTGACAGCCTCGTACCGGCAGACGAAGTGTAGGGCGTCCCCCTACTAGATGGAGTAACGACCTGGTAAGACATACAGGAAGTCAATGGATGCAGGTGGCTCAGGACCGTGCTTTGTGGCATTCTTTGGGCGAGGCCTATGTTCAGCAGTGGAAGGGCTGTAATGATGATGATTTAAGAAATATGAGTATTGATGTGTAGAGGCGTTGTATGAGAGGCATCTCGTGATTGTCGTAAGAGACGATATAGGAAAACTTAAACAGGAGATGGACAGCAGCATCTTCCTAATAACAATTCAAAATAATAAAAACTTGTTGCCAACCCGCTCGCTTGGCGTGACTACTATGGAAAATATCCCCATTATGAGACATTCGTTGTGAAGGCTTATGTTCAGCAATGGACTTTGATGATGATAATGGAGATGTGGTAAGCGTAAAGTATAAAAGGACGTAACCGACGACTGTCCTTATTATGGCATATTTAAAAAAAAAATTGAATAAACTATTTACAACTATATTACGCAAGTAGCTCCAATATCTAATATTGTGATATATTATATTAGAATAATTGTTAACAACGAACACAAGACATGTTAAATAACCGTTTATTCACAACGTAAATTCAAAGTAGTGAATCAGAGCACGAGCGAGTGGCCTGAGGGCGTCGGACGATCGGATAGATTGGCGAGGCGAGAAAAACCGAACCGGTTAACCTCGCGCAGCTGAAGGCTACCGAAGATTGTCGAACGGTCGAACAGGCCGGGCCATGCCACCACATTCTATATGCATAGCCGAGCAAAGTTATCGCTCGCTGCACTTGAATATTTTGATTATCTGTCAATTGTTTTTCGATTGGTAGGTTAATTAAGATACGTTAATTTAAAGGTAAAGGCTCACTTTAGTATCTTTGCGCACCACGTAAACTTCCATTGCTTAAAATGTAACATCGCTCCATTTCATAGTTTCATAATATCCACTGTTCGAATATTTTTTAAGTCATTGGTAACGCAGCGTACGTAATAAGGTCACGGTGAACACTGTCAGCTGTTGGCCGTGCGAGCTGCCTTAGGTACTTAACGGTGTAACGGTAAATACAAGGGATGGGTACGAGCAGACGCGCGACACGGCGTCAATACCGAGTGACTCTTACGAGTGTGTGCGTGCGTAAAATAGTACGCGTCGTATATTTATGAATGACGATCAGTTAATACGAGTATAATGCATTACCCACGCATTTTGAATTTAAAAGATAAATAATGACAAAATGATTGAGATTTTTTTTAATTAAGTTTTCTTCACCATTGTCCTATATTGTTTATATTCTGAAACTTCACTGCAAATTGGGCCGGTTATTTCAAAATAACCCTGTATAAAAAACAAATAGCTATGCATTAGTCTTGAAAAAACTCGAAAATAGTGTGCCGTAATTTTTTCTGTGTTTGAGTGGTTCCCTGGATGGGTAAGATTCACAATTGGATCCGGTAGGTGGCGCTGTTGTCGTGATCCGGTAATCGCCTGTGCGAAGCCGGGGCGGATCACTAGTATTGAATAAAAAATATTGTCTTCTTATCTTCTATCCTTATTTGTCAGAATATCCACTACCCCATATCGTGGGTGTCGTAAGAGGCAAAGGGGAACAAAAACAGGGGATGGGCAGCAGCGTCTTCCTGATAACAACTAAAAACTAAAACACTGCGGTTGCCAATCCACCTGCTAAGCGTGGCAACTATGGCAAATGAAGTATTCAGTACGGCGGCCTGTGTTCAGCAGTGGACTTTTGATAAGCTGTAATGGTACTGTATTGGCGACGTGTGTTGCAGACGGGCCGATGATAATGCGTGACGACAAAATGGCGACGGCGGGATGGTTCATCGGCGTGATGCTGGCGCTGGCGTTCCTGCTGCTGGTGCTGGTGCTGGTGTGCGTGGCGCGCCGCAACCGCGGCGGCAAGTACGACGTGCACGACCGCGAGCTGGCGCACGGCCGCCGCGACTACCCCGACGCCGGCTTCCACGAGTACACGCACCCGTACGTACACGAGCACACGCACCCGTACGTACACGAGCACACGCACCCGTACGTACACGAGCACACGCACCCGTACGTACACGAGCACACGCACCCGTACGTACACGAGCACACGCAGCCGTACCTACACGAGCACACGCACCCGTACGTACACGAGCACACGCACCCGTACCTACACGAGCACACGCACCCGTACGTACACGAGCACACGCACCCGTACGTACACGAGCACACGCACCCGTACGTACACGAGCACACGCACCCGTACGTACACGAGCACACGCACCCGTACGTACACGAGCACACGCACCCGTACGTACACGAGCACACGCACCCGTACGTACATGAGCACACGCAGCCGTACCTACACGAGCACACGCACCCGTACGTACACGAGCACACGCACCCGTACCTACACGAGCACACGCACCCGTACGTACACGAGCACACGCACCCGTACGTACACGAGCACACGCACCCGTACGTACACGAGCACACGCACCCGTACGTACACGAGCACACGCACCCGTACGTACACGAGCACTCGCACCCGTACGTACACGAGCACACGCACCCGTACCTACACGAGCACACGCACCCGTACCTACACGAGCACACGCACCCGTACGTACACGAGCACACGCACCCGTACGTACACGAGCATACGCACCCGTACGTACACGAGCACACGCACCCGTACCTACACGAGCACACGCACCCGTACGTACACGAGCACACGCACCCGCACGTACACGAGCACACGCACCCGTACCTACACGAGCACACGCACCCGTACGTACACGAGCACACGCACCCGTACCTACACGAGCACACGCACCCGTACGTACACGAGCACACGCACCCGTACCTACACGAGCACACGCACCCGTACGTACATGAGTATACATTTTTTCTCAAACATGCATTCACCGCCGAGTACGTGGTAAAATTGCAATTATCAATTTCATTGGTGCCGGCGGGGATCGAACTCTAGTTACTCGCGTACTAAATTTACAACGAGCGCTTAGCCGCTGAGCTACCACGGATAACTACTTCATTAACCCAATCATATTTAATTTCAGACTTGACAACAAATCACGGCATTCGATGAGCAGTGGCACAAAACCGGGCCCAGAGAGCGACACCGACTCTATGGCGGAGTACGGTGAAGGCGAAACAGGTACGTGACCAGATAAAACAACACTTTACTTTTTATTTGGCATGATGATTAATTGCTGTTATACAAAACATTGCAGTCTGGTGACAAAATGTATTATTTGTTTTACTGTGGCAAAATTTTTTTCTTTTTCTTGAACTGGATGCGTATAAAAATTAATGCCGAAAAACAATAGTTTTTCCGACTTCATCATAAACATTTTAATACTGTTGCGCGCCACTATTAATGTCTTGTGCATGGCATCACTAGTTACACTAGCGCCCTCTAGTGTCGAGTAGCAGAACTAGGAGAGTCAAGATTCTTCTAGAAACTTCGGGACCGATATGTACTCGAACATTCTAGATGTCGCTACAGTAGAAGGTTCTGGAAACTATCTGAGGCCCTATATAAGGCCGGTATAGACCACAACCGAGGCAGTATTAAATTGGCGATACAAGAGAATACTTCGAAGCGAAATAACGGCGAACTGTGTTTTATTATTAGTGTGATTTTAAGTTGTAATTAGTGTTGTGTAATTAAATAGTCAATTTTGGTAATTCACTCGGCAGTTTTTAATTATCTCGAACCTCAAGCTCGTAACAATACTAAAAATATTTATTTCGTCTATACCACATTCAATGAAGCTTGAGGTGTTGTATTGTATTATGAGGAGGTAGGAAAATATTATAACAAATAATTACATTGTTATAGATAATTAAATGCATATCATCATCATCATTATCATTATTATGATGATAATAATACGTTAAAAATAATTTAAGTGCAAGTAGTAATACATCCTGAAATGAATAGGGTATAGCTACGAAAACGATTCCTTTATTATTTTAATTTTATTTCTTGCTTTTATATGTTTTGCAACGACAGCATGCTAGTGTTCCGTTTGTCGTGATTTGTTTTGCGTTTGCCTGTATGCATGACGACCAATTGCAGCGGGCATGAACGAAGACGGCTCATTCATCGGCCAGTACGGGCGCAAGCGCCGGCCGCCCGCGTCCGGTCAGCCGGACTCCGCCTCGCAGGCGTTCGCAACGCTCGTTTGAACCCAACCCTAAAACCTCTCACTTACACCTTCTCACCAACTCCTTTGTCTCATTCCCGCTGGCTTTTCCAAAACTACTTAGATTAAAAGTAGCTATGTATGTCTATGCAACTAATGTGTTCTTTGTCATAGTGCCATTGCATCACAGCTATTCAAAATCTTTTGTACTACGTTTGTTACTGATTTTTTTTTAAAGTAGCTTTTACCACCCTTAGTAAGCATCCTAATAAATTCAATAATATATGCTATAACATTAAAATCATTCCACACTCGTTCAAGAGATTATAACTTGATCTTTTTATTGATTCTCACCCTCACAACAATTCAAAGTGGTTGTAAAACTTTTTAGTACTTTATTATATTGAAGGACGCTCATGGTCTTTATTAAACTATTTCAAAAATAGTTTATATAAAGACGTGCTCACGCGTCCACAAATTACAATGCAAATATTGCACGAATCTCTTCTTTTAGGTTAGGCGTTAAGTACACAATAAGTTAAGCCTAATTAGGTTGTAAAAATATTTTATAATTTTATCAGAGTGAGTTGCAGTGAAAGATTTTTTCTACTTATAGATTTTATATGCACGAGCTTTGTGTTACGTTATTGGTTTTGCATTTAATAATTTTAGAATAGATTAGACGTATCCTCGTTTCCGTCCTTATCTACTTCTCCTTTGATTTTTGTCTATGCACGAGCAGCCAGTGTGTTTTGATTTTTATTGAGGTATGTTTTTATTTTCATTTTAATCATATTTTTTTATTTTTGTTTTGTTTTGCTTTAGCCTGTTTTTAGATAATTTATGTTTAATTTAAGTTAAATTACGTTTTTTTTTTTATTTAATCTGTAGTGTAAAATTTTAAAATGATTGTTATGATTTTCCCACCCCTAGGATTAATTTTATTCTCCAAATTTTTATAGGACCGTCAAGTATTTAAAAAAAAAATTAATTTTTTTTCATAGTTTATCATGTCAGAAAAAAAACTCTCAAAGTTCGATGTAAATAGTTTATTTAATTACAACCTATCAAAAGTCGTCTACTAAACAATAAGCCTCTCCTATAGCTTGCCTAGTAGAGGGGATATTTGGCATAGTGGCCACGTTTAATGCCAGGATGCCACGAAGCGGGTTCGCAACCAGAGTTTTTCATTATTTTGAATTGTTATATGGAAAATTCCGATGATCGTATCCTGTTTAAATTTCTTGTGTCGCCTTTTACAACACTTATGGAATAACATGGATTAGTGGATTATTTTGCGCTGCCACTATACGCCGGACTGACTTATGAAAATTGTTAATTTATTTGTGATATTGAAATTAATAAATAATAGTTTAAAAAAAAACTAAATAAACTATTATTTATTTTCTATTTTTGAGTTAAAAAACTACAAAAGTGTGTTTTTTTTTTCTGGGAACGAAGTTCTTTTACGCGGCCTACAGTAGATTGAACTGGCAGAAGTCGTAGTTGTTTTATGAATTATTCACAAATCCTGAGGGTCTTGGCAAGAATAAAGGGACAAACTATTTAAATTATTGCATTGTCATCGATTCTTGATAAGTGTGCGAAGTTTCAAATCAATTAAAGGGGATGAAAATCACATTCAAAAATTCCGTTACATAGATACAGAAGCTATTAAAAGCGTGTTAAAGATTAAAAAGTGTTTAAACTATTGGATTACCATTAAAAGTCCACTGCTGAACATAGGCCTCCCCCGCAGATTGTTTTTTGGGAAGATTTTGCCATAGTTGCCACGTTTGGCAGGCAAGTTGGCAGGCGTAGTTTTTAATAAATTTAAGAAGTTGTAAGTAAGATGCTACTGTCTATCTCTTGTTTTAGTTTCCTTTGTCGCTTCTTACGACATCCACGGGAAAATATGGGGCAGTTAATATTCTTATACCGCCACTATACGGCATAAACTATTGAATGTATTTGTCTTTTATGTATGAAAAGAAAAACACTATAAAGTAAACCGTATCATTTATCGGAACTAAACAGCCTGTATAAAAACTGTAAGGTATAAATTGGTAAGTGTTGTCCTGGAGTTTTGGCAGCAACTTGATCGCCGGCGGATTGTTGCTTCTGTTTTATCGTTTAAAGAATAGTTTGAATTGGGTTTTGATAAGTAAAATTGATGATGCTATTTTGTTTTTTGTGTAAACAAATGTTGTCAAACAAGTCGATATTGATACAAACTTTATGTTTTTTTTTGTCCACTTTGGCGGCTTTTGCTGTCGTCAAAATCTCCCAAGGACTTCTTAATGTGACGCATCGGCATATTGTGAAGTAGATTTTATAAAAAAAATATTATATAGGATGTTTTCTTATTACTTGACAAAAGTATAATCGTACGAGTCCATAACCAAAGGAAGTGTTGTGTTTCGGGCAGGTCGGTTCACGGAAGACGGGTCGTTCATCGGGCAGTACGTGCCGGGCGCCCGCGTGCTGCCGCCGCCCCCCGCGCCCCCCGGCCCGCCAGCGCCCCCCGCGCCCGCCGGGCCCCCCGGGCTGCCCGGCCCGCAGCCCCCCACCTACGTGTAGGGCGCGGGGGACCGCCACACGACGCGACGAGAGGGACGACACTACACCACCACCACTGACTCCTAGTTGTAAGGCAGCTGATCCAACCTTTTAAAAATTTTTCTAGGGATATTTTCCGGGAGCACATTTAGAAGGCGATGCGACAGTTTTGTCTTTGTAACTGTATTAACGGAACCGACATAATAATACTAATAATAAAGGGGAAGTTACTGCTCGTTCCCTCAACTACATAACAGATATGATTTATATTTAAAATATTCCCCACTGCATTTTTACTTCTCACTCTCTCTCTCGTCACGAAGCGATAGTATTACAGTAAATGTATTTGGATGCTTTATGACGTCAATGTTCTTAGTGTCGGTGTAACAATATAAGCATTTTGTTAGATCGTACTATAAATTAATGGCCTCGTTTGAACGCAAATCGATGTATCACTTTTTGATCAATTCGCGTTAAAATCGATTTCGATTGCGACATTTATCATTTTTAAAGGCGAGGAGCCGATATATTTTATTTGTGAAAACTTTATTACCAGTGATTCGTATCATTTTATTTATTGACTCTGTACTCGGTACTGTTATAAGGACGCTGATGTTTAGTTAAAATTTATTAGTTACAAGGCCAAGTTAGTTTAAGCAAAAACGTGAGCCTAGATTTTCTATTTACCAATAAATATCCTAATGCGGACAAGCAACACGTCTATGTTACTGCAAACTTTTCTTTGCTGCAGTATATTATCTAGACTGCAAAAACAACTTAACTAACAATAAAAAAAGCTATCGATGTTGTTGCATACATTTGTTTATTTATGAGACTGATTTTAAGTAATGAAGTTAAATAGTCTGTCATAATCTAGCACTTTTAGTAGAACACCTGAACACATCATATAAGAGTCCGATTTAACTTTTTACACGAAAATATAGTTTTTTTTTTATTTGATATATATTCGACCACACATATACGGCTCTTTAGAAGGTAGAACTTTTCTTGGCTCGATATCAATTATTTATAAGCTAAGGATACGGTAGCTGGTTAAAAATTGAAATTTAAGAGAAGCTATTTTTGTCACAGAAGGAAAAAAGAATTAAGAGTATTGGATTAAATGTAAAGTTAGCTCTGAAAGCCGGTGGTCAGACTTGCTTTCGAATTATGTATCAATTCGTACACGTTATTGGAACAATATATATATATATAAAAGAGACTATGAGCAAAATATTTTTACCGCTTGCATTTATCAATATAATATTATAATTATTGCATAATACTATATACAATATTCCGATGAGAATTGATCCCTTAGAATTTACTGTCTTATCGTTAAGATCTAGAAAAAGTCTCAATATCAACACAAATTATCTTATGTATTTATTTTTGTACCTAATGCATATCTAAATAAGTTACTAAACTACGCTACGGACCAGTAAGAAAATATTTCTTACAATATAGCATCTTATTATCTGACATATAAAATATAAACTTTAAGATGTATATTTTCATGCTCAAATATCAATATTTCTACGTAATATATCTATTAAATGAGCTTTGTTATGTTTGTCTATCATTTTCAATGCCCCACTCATATAACTACCACTTTCATGTGAACTTTTAAAACTTTAAACTGTATATGGATCTTTACAGGCATAGCCAATGAAAATGGTTGCAAAACGTTATCAATTACGAATCGATCTATTTTATAACTAGAGTTCGAAATATTTTTGTACGTTGAGCAGTTTGACCACCGGGCGATTTTGGTGCTTTGCGAAGATGTTGGAATAGAAGTTAATGTATCGGTGTTGTGATTGCATGAGTCGTAGAATTAGGGCATGGAAAAATCTCGACTTTTTATTGTTCCCACCTAACAAGTCAGTTCAATACACATGAATGTAACATTTTGAAAGAATAAAACTACATCAAAAACGGTATTCCGGCTGGATGTTGGACTCCTTTCCAATATGTTTTATTTATTTTTTATTTCAGAAAATTATAATGATTGAAAATATGTTGGAAATGAGTAACTTCCAGCCTAAAACCATTTTAGAAAATGATATGGTTGAGAACAACATGATTGTGTAGTCTTCAGAAAGAAATTCATTATTTTTTATATGAAATAGGTGAACTGATCTGACTTGATCTGAAATTATTATTAAATGACGATTAAAAGAAGCGTACATGTAGAAAAAATCATTTTTTTTTAAATTGGACAGTTTGACAAAATGACAGTGTTGTAAAAGCAGCCATAACATGAAAACAAAGATATTATTGTGAATCTCTAACTTTCTAATGTAATATTTTTGTCCCACGATGGCGGGTTGTTCTTATTTGTAGTGCACATTATTTTAGTGTAATCAAAAATTTAATATCGTGTACGGTCAGAACGGAAAGTAAACGGTGAAAATTTGTTTGTAGTGATGTAAGAAAATAATTAATGTGCCCTTTCCTAAGCAGCGGAGCGTTAGTTTAATGTAAGGACTGTCAGATGATCGCTAGGTTGGTCATGCAAAGTATTTTTTTCAATATCAAATTAAAACTCTGCATATCCTAACACAAGTATCTTTTTTAACTCAAAGGAGATTCCGGACACGGTTAAAACTGTACGATTTATGTTACTAAAATAAAAATTCTTTTATTATTTATTATTTTACATCGTTGCTAACATAAGATACATATTGTTTGAATCTTATTATATTATAACAATATTACCTACAAAACTAAAATAGATATATTAATACTTTATTACAACAAGCTTTTTTTTAACAGTTATATAGATCCAAACTGTAATGAAAATGTGAATAAATTCCCTTTGTCGAAAAACGAAAATAATATTTATATTTTACTACATAGCTAAATGTACTTAGATAACTTATTTTGTTTATTCACGATGATCTTACTAGCGCTTCCTGCAGTTACGCACGCAAACACCCGTGTCCAATACACAACACAAATACAAGTAAGACTCGCCCACTTTCGTGAGGCAAAACATCTGTACTTCCACTTGTTTTTGCTCTATGTTAAGTACCTTATTCAATGATATTAGGTGAGGTTATTCAAAATGGCGGCTACTAAAAAAATTATTTTCTTTACATAACGTAGCAATTAAATGTTTATGGCTTTTTATATTTAATATTATATTGTATAATTATCAACTGCACATTGAATAAGAATTCAAGTTTTTAAAATTTTTGCAAGGGGTTAGGCTAAATTGTATTACTCTGTGCAAACTGATACATGGCTACCATTCATTAAGTGTTATCATCAACAATCTTGTCAAAATAAATGTATACAGTTTTTTTTTTTTATGATACAGATCTGAGATTGCTCTCTGACAGTATTGTAGCACTTTCGTTATTAACACCCTTCAAAGTAATTTATTCATTTACCGTATCAGGTTGCATGGAATTAATATTAAAATTTGTATCAAACCTAACAATTATCCTCTTTATTCGTTTAGTAATAAGGCCATCTTGATCCCGTACGACAGAATCTTAATTGTATCTCTTAGAATTAAGGCTAGATTCTCGTGTTAACTAATCTTAGACAGCTAAAGCGCTCGCTTGTCGCATCTTTACTCTTATTAGGTATTTATTCTTTGCTTATTAAATAAATAATTCTTATAATGTCACTGTCGGGGAAACTTGAATTCGCTTAGGAAAAAGAAATTTCTGTAGGTACTTATAGTTTGTCTGGCAGTGAGAGTTCCCTTCTCATTCGACAGTCTTATTTATTTCTTCACCTGTAAGGTGTCGGGTCCTAAGTACATTCCACGCGGTAAAACCATGTTGATTTTATAGATGTCTGTTTTTTTATCTTGTTTCATACATACGTCGGTCAGATGTAATCTGAGAGATTGTTTTAAAAACTCGATACTGCCGTGTATGACTGAAACCAACGGAGTTTATCCTTATGTTTAATTCATATTGTATATTTATTTGCCCTCTAACTTATATGTGTTCTCGATGCTAGCACCTCGATCGTTATGATTTAGAGCTTAAAATGTAACCATTGGTACCTTATACATTGCATTATTATATTTGATGGCACTGTTATTAGCCCCTTTGAGTTAATTGTTAAGGAGTCTTTATCATGTCTATTGTCTAGTAAGAATTATCGGTAATATAATGTATATTAATATTAATTAATTAATACGGTAGGAGAGCCTTGTTCTATTCGCGTCTGTTTTGTCGCTTCTTATACCGAGCTGTTGATCATTGAGAAAAATTATTTTTCTTAACATTAAAATATTTATTGGCGTTCAAAATGGAAAAATTTGACAAAGTTTGTAATGATTGTTGAATACGGTGATAAACACTGCCTTTACTTCAAAATTCTTAGAATTAGCAATGTGTTCATTGTAAAGTTCACCGTGTATATACATTTAAATAGATCTCTTAGCCGTCGTTCGTCTGTACGCGCCTGTATGCAGCTTTTGAAATTGGATTATCTTCATAATAACAAGGAATGTCATGTTCATATGTTCGCAAGCACAAGTGTATTTACGTACACTAATTCTACAATACTGTTGATATGGCGCAGCTATATTCTTGACTGCCGAGTTTCATTAGGCTGCCTCTATATGGCATAGTTTCACCACTGACTATTTGTATGTAATAGACGAAAATTTTTCTCCTAGCTTATATTGTTGTAACGGTAATATTCTCCATTTAAAACCGAACGCAACCGGTTGAAATTATTTGTTGTGCTGTTCAATGTATAATTCAATGTTAATTTATTTATATTATAGACGTTTCTCCGTGAAAAATTTGCATTATATTCAGCCTGCTTGAGTTAAAATAATGGAACTACCATTGTTGACATGACATTGGCGCATTCTTATAAATAATAATTTCGAAGTTTCAAATAGCGCCTTAACGAAACTTTGACGCAGTTTTGACGAAGAAGCGTCTATATCGGAAATATTTACTATGTGAGCTTCTTACAACCCGAGGTGGTTTGTTGAATTAAGGTGGCTACTGACCTGCCTGCCGCAGGGGTAATCTAGGGCG